TAAAAAACGACCGCAAGATTTGCACGGTCGTAAGCAAGCAAGCAAGCACGCAAGCAAGCAAGCGAACTTAATATAAAGGATTTAAAAACAGTTTGTTTCGTTGTCCTTCGTCTGGGGAGGGGACGTGTGTGTGTTGTTCTGATTGTAAGACTGGCTCCTTCCTTTGCCCCGAAGTTTATTATGTAATGGCATTTTACGACCTCCAGATGCTTGGTGCTTGTGAGTGCGCTGCGGGGTTAAATGTTATGGTTTCATTATTTATTATTTAAAAATATAGATATATAAGCCGAATAATTCTTAACATGAATTTTGGAAAAAGTCTCGTATATACAACAGCTGTACGAGTAACTAGTCGTAATGAATTCGCTGGCTTTGTTGAGCATTGCGCTAACTGCTGTGCCTCCACTCTCCGAAGCACACAACATCAACATCAATCGCCATTCGCGTGTGCCAGGCAGAGGTCGCAATTGGGTTTTGATTCCTTACCCGTACCCGGCCGCACCAGTGTCGCAAATGGGTACCCGTACCCGGCCGGGTACGGGTAGCCGGGTATCGGGTAGGGTATGGGTATCGGGTACCCGGTTGCGACCTCTGGTGCCAGGCTATGTGCACGTTGAAGCCACTTGCAGTGTCGAACGCCCGCCGGCAGGAGGTCACGGGACAGACCCAGCAGGTGCCATGGGCCGAATGACTGAGATGAGTGACCGATGCACCACCTGTGCCCCCTACTGCGCCAACTTGCTGCGTTTTATCGCCCGGCGCTCATCTCGATGTTGTGAGCGTCGCTCCTCCGCCCTTTGTTGTTGTTGGAGGGCGACTGCCTCCAACTGCCCCCAGCAGCAGCAGCGTCCTTCACACGCCACACTCGGGGACATACCAAAGACAAAAATCTTAACAGACTGTAGGGGCAAATGCTGTTAGCGAGCACTGATAAAAGCCGGCATGACACATGAGGGGGGGGGGGTGGGTGGCCAGCACCACGCCTGGCCGCCTTTGTCTCCCCTGTGGCGATGTTTACACACCGCAACCAGGCACTCATTTGAGGCCGAGTCGACCTAGGGGAGGCCCAGGACCCGGTTTAGATAATCGTCACCGGCGTTGGCCGTGAGCGGGAATCGAGCAACCGGATCCGCCGAGTTCGGAGCGCAGAGAGATGCTGCCGCTACATCTACCTTCCACTCCAGCATCACCACGCCCCCACCCCAACCACAGCACCACCACTCTCTCAGCATCACCATGCCCCCCACCCCAACCACAGCACCACCCCTCTCTCAACATCACCATGCCCCCCGCCCCAACCGCAGCACCACCCCTCTCTCAGCATCACCATGCCCCCCAGCCCAACCACAGCACCACCCCTCTCTCAGCATCACCATGGCCCCCACCCCAACCACAGCACCACCCCTCTCTCAACATCACCATGCCCCCCGCCCCAACCGCAGCACCACCACTCTCTCAGCATCACCATGCCCCAACCACAGCACCACCCCTCTCTCAGCATCACCATGCCCCCCAGCCCAACCACAGCACCACCCCTCTCTCAGCATCACCATGCCCCCCACCCCCAACCGCAGCACCACCCCTCTCTCAACATCACCATGCCCCCCACCCCCAACCGCAGCACCACCCCTCTCTCAACATCACCATGCCCCCCACCCCAACCACAGCACCACCACTCTCTCAACATCACCATGCCCCCCACCCCAACCACAGCACCACCCCTCTCTCTGCATCACCATGCCCCCCACCCCAACCACAGCACCACCCCTCTCTCAGCATCACCATGCCCCCCACCCCAACCACAGCACCACCACTCTCTCAGCATCACCATGCCCCCCACCCCAACCACAGCACCACCACTCTCTCAGCATCACCATGCCCCCAACCACAGCACCACCACTCTCTCAGCATCACCATGCCCCCAACCACAGCACCACCACTCTCTCAACATCACCATGCCCCCACCCCAACCACAGCACCACCCCTCTCTCTGCATCACCATGCCCCCCACCCCAACCACAGCACCACCACTCTCTCAACATCACCATGCCCCCAACCGCAGCACCACCCCTCTCTCAGCATCACCATGCCCCCCACCCCAACCACAGCACCACCACTCTCTCAACATCACCATGCCCCCAACCACAGCACCACCACTCTCTCAGCATCACCATGCCCCCACCCCAACCACAGCACCACCACTCTCTCAGCATCACCATGCCCCCACCCCAACCACAGCACCACCACTCTCTCAGCATCACCATGCCCCCCACCCCAACCACAGCACCACCCCTCTCTCAGCATCACCATGCCCCCAACCACAGCACCACCCCTCTCTCAACATCACCATGCCCCCAACCACAGCACCACCACTCTCTCAACATCACCATGCCCCCACCCCAACCACAGCACCACCCCTCTCTCAACATCACCATGCCCCCACCCCAACCACAGCACCACCCCTCTCTCAACATCACCATGCCCCCCACCCCAACTACAGCACCACCACTCTCTCAACATCACCATGCCCCCCACCCCAACTACAGCACCACCACTCTCTCAGCATCACCATGCCCCCCACCCCAACCACAGCACCACCCCTCTCTCAACATCACCATGCCCCCCACCCCAACTACAGCACCACCACTCTCTCAACATCACCATGCCCCCCACCCCAACCACAGCACCACCACTCTCTCAACATCACCATGCCCCCCACCCCAACTACAGCACCACCACTCTCTCAACATCACCATGCCCCCCACCCCAACTACAGCACCACCACTCTCTCAACATCACCATGCCCCCCACCCCAACCACAGCACCACCACTCTCTCAACATTCCCATGCCCCCCACCCCAACTACAGCACCACCACTCTCTCAACATCACCATGCCCCCCACCCCAACCACAGCACCACCACTCTCTCAACCTCACCATGCCCCCCACCCCAACCACAGCACCACCACTCTCTCAACATCACCATGCCCCCCACCCCAACTACAGCACCACCACTCTCTCAACATCACCATACCCCCCACCCCAACCACAGCACCACCCCTCTCTCAACATCACCATGCCCCCCCCCCCAACCACAGCACCACCACTCTCTCAACATCACCATGCCCCCCCCCCCAACCACAGCACCACCACTCTCTCAACATCACCATGCCCCCCACCCCAACTACAGCACCACCACTCTCTCAACATCACCATGCCCCCACCCCAACCACAGCACCACCACTCTCTCAACATCACCATGCCCCCCACCCCAACCGCAGCACCACCCCTCTCTCAGCATCACCATGCCCCCCACCCCCACCACAGCACCACCACTCTCTCAACATCACCATGCCCCTCACCCCAACCACAGCACCACCCATCTCTCAGCATCACCATGCCCCCAACCACAGCACCACCCCTCTCTCAACATCACCATGCCCCTCACCCCAACCACAGCACCACCCATCTCTCAGCATCACCATGCCCCCCACCCCAACCACAGCACCACCCCTCTCTCAGCATCACCATGCCCCCAACCGCAGCACCACCCCTCTCTCAACATCACCATGCCCCCAACCACAGCACCACCACTCTCTCAACATCACCATGCCCCCAACCACAGCACCACCACTCTCTCAACATCACCATGCCCCCAACCACAGCACCACCACTCTCTCAGCATCACCATGCCCCCCACCCCAACCGCAGCACCACCCATCTCTCAACATCACCATGCCCCCCACCCCAACCACAGCACCACCCCTCTCTCAGCATCACCATGCCCCCCACCCCAACCACAGCACCACCACTCTCTCAACATCACCATGCCCCCCACCCCAACCACAGCACCACCACTCTCTCAGCATCACCATGCCCCCCACCCCAACCACAGCACCACCACTCTTTCAGCATCACCATGCCCCCCACCCCAACCACAGCACCACCCCTCTCTCTGCATCACCATGCCCCCACCCCAACCACAGCACCACCACTCTCTCAGCATCACCATGCCCCCCACCCCAACCACAGCACCACCACTCTCTCAACATCACCATGCCCCCCACCCCAACCACAGCACTACCACTCTCTCAACATCACCATGCCCCCAACCACAGCACCACCACTCTCTCAGCATCACCATGCCCCCCACCCCAACCACAGCACCACCACTCTCTCAGCATCACCATGCCCCCAACCACAGCACCACCACTCTCTCAACATCACCATGCCCCCAACCACAGCACCACCACTCTCTCAACATCACCATGCCCCCAACCACAGCACCACCACTCTCTCAACATCACCATGCCCCCAACCACAGCACCACCCCTCTCTCAACATCACCATGCCCCCAACCACAGCACCACCACTCTCTCAACATCACCATGCCCCCAACCACAGTACCACCCCTCTCTCAACATCACCATGCCCCCAACCACAGCACCACCACTCTCTCAACATCACCATGCCCCCAACCACAGCACCACCACTCTCTCAACATCACCATGCCCCCAACCACAGCACCACCCCTCTCTCAGCATCACCATGCCCCCAACCACAGCACCACCACTCTCTCAACATCACCATGCCCCCAACCACAGCACCACCACTCTCTCAACATCACCATGCCCCCAACCACAGCACCACCCCTCTCTCAACATCACCATGCCCCCAACCACAGCACCACCCCTCTCTCAACATCACCATGCCCCCAACCACAGCACCACCACTCTCTCAACATCACCATGCCCCCAACCACAGCACCACCACTCTCTCAACATCACCATGCCCCCAACCACAGCACCACCACTCTCTCAACATCACCATGCCCCCAACCACAGCACCACCACTCTCTCAACATCACCATGGCCCCCACCCCAACCGTAGCACCACCCCTCTCTCCAGACCCTCCCCACTTCTCCCTCCACCCTCCCTTCCCCCCGAACTCCGCACATATAAAAGCCCTCTCGGCATCTCCAAAATTGACGTCTCGACCGATCAACTGGACGGGGTTCACACACAAGACACGCGCCGACCCACCCACACCACCCACGGCAACCCAACGCAACCCACTGACCCACGCAAGAGCCATGGGTATGGCCGGGCACGCGTTTCTACTCCTCCTCTGTGCCCTGGCCGCTGTCGTGAGCGCGGATGAGCAGAGCTCTGGGTGAGTTGAGGAAGATGGAGAGACGCTGCTGCTGCTGCTGCTGCAGTAGGTCAAGCTGTGTGTGTCTGTGTGTGTCTGTGTGTGTCTGTCTGTGTGTCTGTGTGTGTCTGTCTGTGTGTGTGTGTCTGTGTGTGTGTCTGTGTGTGTGTGTGTGTCTGTGTGTGTCTGTGTGTGTCTGTGTGTGTGTGTGTGTGTCTGTGTGTGTGTGTGTGTCTGTGTGTGTGTCTGTGTGTGTCTGTCTGTGTGTTGTGGTCTGTGTGTGTCTGTGTGTGTGTCTGTCTGTGTGTGTGTGTGTGTGTCTGTGTGTGTGTGTCGGTGTGTGTGTGTCTGTGTCTGTCTGAGGGGAGCGGTGGTGCAGCGGTTAGCGCGTTGCGCTATGAACCCGGCGACCCGGGTTCGAATCCCGCTCACGGCCAACACCAGTGACGATTATTTGAACCGGTCCTGGGCCTCCCCTAGGTCGACTCAGCCTTAAACGAGTACCTGGTGCGGTGTGTAAACATTGCCACTAGGGAGACAAAGGCGGTCGGGCGTGGTGCTGGCCACCCACCCCCTCGTGTACCGTTCCGGCCTTCATAGGTGCTCGCTAACAGCACTTGCCCCAACAGTCTGTTAAAGGCTATACGGGGGTTCTTTTTCTTTGTCTGTCAGTGTGTGTTTTGTGTTGTATGTGGGGAGCGGTGGTGCAGCGGTTAGCGCTACGCTGCGCTAAGAACCCGGCGACCCGAGTTCGATTCCCGTAACACGGCCAACACCAATGACGATTATCTGAAACCGGTCCTGGGCCTCCCCTAGGTCGACTCAGCCTCAAACGAGTACCTGGTGCGGTGTGTAAACATCGCCACTAGGGAGACAAAGGCGGTCGGGCGTGGTGCTGGCCACCCACCCCCTCGTGTGCTGTGTCGGTCTTCATAGGTGCTCGCTAACAGCACTTGCCCCAACAGTCTGTTAATGCTATACGGGGGTTCTTTTTCTTTGTCTGTCAGTGTGTGTTTTGTGTTGTATGTGGGGAGCGGTGGTGCAGCGGTTAGCGCTGTGCTGCGCTATGAACCCGGCGACCCGAGTTCGAGTCCCGTAACACGGCCAACACCAGTGGCGATTTTTATCTGAACCGGTCATGGGAGCTCCCCTAGGTCGACTCAGCCTCAAATGAGTACCTGGTGCGGTGTGTTAACATCACCAATAGGGAGACAAAGGCGGTCGGGCGTGGTGCTGGCCACCCACCCCCTCGTGTGCTGTGTCGGTCTTCATAGGTGCTCGCTAACAGCACTTGCCCCAACAGTCTGTTTAAGGGGCTATATGGGGGATATTTTTGTGTTGTACGGGGAGCGTTAGTGTAGCGGTCAGCGCTACGCTGCGCTATGAACCCGGCGACCCGAGTTCGATTCCCGTAACACGGCCAACACCAGTGGCGATTTTTATCTGAACCGGTCGTGGGAGCTCCCCTAGGTTGACTCAGCCTCAAATGAGCACCTGGTGCATTGTCTAAACATCGCCACGAGCGAGACAAAGGCGTCTAAGTGTGGTGCTGGCCACCCACCTCCTCGTGTGCTGTGTCGGCCTTCATAGGTGCTCGCTAACAGCACTTGCCCCAACAGTCTGTTCAGGCTATACGGGGGATCTTTGTCTTGTGTTGTGCGGGCAGTGTGGAGCGCCGGGTGGCTAAAGCACAGCAAGTTTGCATGGTAGGGGGCACAGGTGGTGCATTGGTCACTCATCTCAGTCAGTCGACCCCGTGGCACCTGCTGGGTCTGCCCCGTGAACTCCTGGTGCACCTAGCCTGGCACAGTAGGGGGCACAGGTGGTACCTCGGCCACTCATCTCAGTCAGTCTAGCCCGTGGCACCTGCTGGGTCTGCCCCGTGACCTCCAGGTGCACCTAGCCTGGCACAGTAGGGGGGCACAGGTGGTGCATCGGCCACTCGTCTCAGTCAGTCAATCCCGTGGCACCTGCTGGGTCTGTCACGTGACCGCCTGGTGCACCTAGCCTGGCACAGCAGGGGGCACAGGTGGTGGAGCATCGGCCACTCATCTCAGTCAGTCGACCCGTGGCACCTGCTGGGTCTGTCACGTGACCTCCTGGTGTACCTAGCCTGGCACAGTAGGGGGCACAGGTGGTGTATCGGCCACTCATCTCAGTCAGTCGACCCGTGGCACCTGCTGGGTCTGTCCCGTGACCTCCTCCTGCCAGCGGGCGATCGACACTTCACGTGGCCTCAACGTGCACCTAGCCTGGCACAAGCGCCTTGGTGATGTAACCGTAATGTCAGGTTTTAGTTCCTTGTGCTTTGGCACCCCTCTGATTAGCACTTTTGGCTACCCATGGTTTGAAATAAGCTCAACATACGATAGCACAATGAAATCGTCTATGGTTGGTCCGCTAGGCACTAGCTGGTGTCTGTGTGAGTGGCACTAGCTGGTGTCTGTGTGAGTGGCGCTAGCTGGTGTCTGTGTGAGTGACGCTAGGCACTAGCTGGTGTCTGTGTGAGTGACGCTAGGCACTAGCTGGTGTCTGTGTGAGTGGCGCTAGGCACTAGCCGGTGTCTGTGTGAGTGGCGCTAGGCACTAGCTGGTGTCTGTGTGAGTGGCGCTAGGCACTAGCTGGTGTCTGTGTGAGTGGCGCTAGGCACTAGCTGGTGTCTGTGAGTGACGCTAGGCACTAGCTGGTGTCTGTGTGAGTGACGCTAGGCACTAGCTGTTGTCTGTGTGAGTGGCACTAGCTGATGTCTGTGTGAGTGGCGCTAGGCACTAGCTGGTGTCTGTGTGAGTGACGCTAGGCACTAGCTGGTGTCTGTGTGAGTGGCGCTAGGCAGTAGCTGGTGTCTGTGTGAGTGACGCTAGGCACTAGCTGGTGTCTGTGTGAGTGGAGCTAGGCACTAGCTGGTGTCTGTGTGAGTGGCGCTAGGCACAAGCTGGTGTCTGTGCGAGTGGCGCTAGGCACTAGCTGGTGTCTGTGTGAGTGGCGCTAGGCACTAGCTGGTGTCTGTGTGAGTGGCGCTAGGCACTAGCTGGTGGCTGTGTGACACTAGGCACTAGCTGGTGTCTGTGCGAGTGGCGCTAGGCACTAGCTGGTGTCTGTGCGAGTGGCGCTAGGCACTAGCTGGTGTCTGTGTGACACTAGGCACTAGCTGGTGTCTGTGTGAGTGGCGCTAGGCACTAGCTGGTGTCTGTGCGAGTGGCGCTAGGCACTAGCTGGTGTCTGTGTGAGTGACGCTAGGCACTAGCTGGTGTCTGTGTGAGTGGCGCTAGGCACTAGCTGGTGTCTGTGTGACACTAGGCACTAGCTGGTGTCTGTGTGAGTGGCGCTAGGCACTAGCTGGTGTCTGTGTGAGTGATGCTAGGCACTAGCTGGTGTCTGTGTGAGTGATGCTAGGCACTAGCTGGTGTCTGTGTGAGTGGCGCTAGGCACTAGCTGATGTCTGTGTGAGTGATGCTAGGCACTAGCTGGTGTCTGTGTGAGTGACGCTAAGCACTAGCTGGTGTCTGTGTGAGTGATGCTAGGCACTAGCTGGTGTCTGTGTGAGTGATGCTAGGCACTAGCTGGTGTCTATGTGAATGACGCTAGGGACTAGCTGGTGTCTGTGTGAGTGGCGCTAGGCACTAGTTGGTGTCTGTGTGAGTGGCGCTAGGCACTAGCTGGTGTCTGTGTGAGTGGCGCTAGGCACTAGTTGGTGTCTGTGTGAGTGGCGCTAGGCACTAGCTGGTGTCCGTGTGAGTGGCGCTAGGCACTAACTGGTGTCTGTGTGAGTGGCGCTAGGCACTAGCTGGTGTCTGTGTGAGTGGCACTAGCTGGTGTCTGTGTGAGTGACGCTAGCTGGTGTCTGTGTGAGTGGCACTAGCTGGTGTCTGTGTGAGTGGCACTAGCTGGTGTCTGTGTGAGTGGCACTAGCTGGTGTCTGTGTGAGTGGCACTAGCTGGGTGTCTGTGTGAGTGGCACTAGCTGGTGTCTGTGTGAGTGACGCTAGCTGGTGTCTGTGTGAGTGGCGCTAGGCACTAACTGGTGTCTGTGTGAGTGATGCTAGGCACTAGCTAGTGTCTGTGTGAGTGGCACTAGCTGGTGTCTGTGTGAGTGACGCTAGCTGGTGTCTGTGTGAGTGGCACTAGCTGGTGTCTGTGTGAGTGGCACTAGCTGGTGTCTGTGTGAGTGACACTAGCTGGTGTCTGTGTGAGTGGCACTAGCTGGTGTCTGTGTGAGTGGCACTAGCTGGTGTCTGTGTGAGTGACACTAACTGGTGTCTGTGTGAGTGGCACTATCTGGTGTCTGTGTGAGTGGCACTAGCTGGTGTCTGTGTGAGTGGCACTAGCTGGTGTCTGTTTGAGTGACACTATCTGGTGTCTGTGTGAGTGACACCAGCTGGTGTCTGTGTGAGTGGCACTATCTGGTGTCTGTGTGAGTGACACTAGCTGGTGTCTGTGTGAGTGACACTATCTGGTGTCTGTGTGAGTGACACCAGCTGGTGTCTGTGTGAGTGACACTAGCTGGTGTCTGTGTGAGTGACACTATCTGGTGTCTGTGTGAGTGACACTAGCCATTGTCCGTGCGTGTGACGCTAGGCACTATCTGGTGTCTGTGTGAGTGGCACTAGCTGGTGTCTGTGAGTGACACTAGCTGGTGTTTGTGTGAGTGACACTAGCTGGTGTCTGTGTGAGTGACACTAGCTGGTGTCTGTGTGAGTGGCACTAGCCGTTGTCCGTGCGCGTCACGCTAGGCACTAGCTGGTGTCTGTGTGAGTGACGCTAGGCACTAGCTGGTGTCTGTGTGAGTGACGCTAGCCGTTGTCCGTGCGCGTGACGCTAGGCACTAGCTGGTGTCTGTGTGAGTGGCGCTAAGCACTAGCTGGTGTCTGTGTGAGTGACGCTAAGCACTAGCTGGTGTCTGTGTGAGTGGCGCTAGGCACTAGCTGGTGTCTGTGTGAGTGACGCTAAGCACTAGCTGGTGTCTGTGTGAGTGACACTAGGCACTAGCTGGTGTCTGTGTGAGTGACGCTAGGCACTAGCTGGTGTCTGTGTGAGTGACGCTAGGCACTAGCTGGTGTCTGTGTGAGTGGCACTAGGCACTAGCTGGTGTCTGTGTGAGTGACGCTAAGCACTAGCTGGTGTCTGTGTGAGTGACGCTAGGCACTAGCTGGTGTCTGTGTGAGTGACGCTAGGCACTAGCTGGTGTCTTTGTGAGTGATGCTAGGCACTAGCTGGTGTCTGTGTGAGTGGCGCTAGGCACTAGCTGATGTCTGTGTGAGTGATGCTAGGCACTAGCTGGTGTCTGTGTGAGTGACGCTAAGCACTAGCTGGTGTCTGTGTGAGTGATGCTAGGCACTAGCTGGTGTCTGTGTGAATGATGCTAGGCACTAGCTGGTGTCTATGTGAGTGACGCTAGGCACTAGCTGGTGTCTGTGTGAGTGGCGCTAGGCACTAGTTGGTGTCTGTGTGAGTGGTGCTAGGTACTAGCTGGTATCTGTGTGAGTGGCGCTAGGCACTAGTTGGTGTCTGTGTGAGTGGCGCTAGGCACTAGCTGGTGTCTGTGTGAGTGGCGCTAGGCATTAGCTGGTGTCTGTGTGAGTGGCGCTAGGCACTAACTGGTGTCTGTGTGAGTGACGCTAGGCACTAGCTGGTGTCTGTGTGAGTGGCACTAGCTGGTGTCTGTGTGAGTGACACTAGCTGGTGTCTGTGTGAGTGGCACTAGCTGGTGTCTGTGTGAGTGGCACTAGCTGGTGTCTGTGTGAGTGACACTAGCTGGTGTCTGTGTGAGTGGCACTAGCTGGTGTCTGTGTGAGTGGCACTAGCTGGTGTCTGTGTGAGTGACACTAACTGGTGTCTGTGTGAGTGGCACTAGCTGGTGTCTGTGTGAGTGACACTAGCTGGTGTCTGTGTGAGTGACACTAGCTGGTGTCTGTGTGAGTGGCACTAGCTGGTGTCTGTTTGAGTGACACTAGCTGGTGTCTGTGTGAGTGACACTAGCTGGTGTCTGTGTGAGTGACACTAGCTGGTGTCTGTGTGAGTGGCACTAGCTGGTGTCTGTTTGAGTGACACTAGCTGGTGTCTGTGTGAGTGACACTAGCTGGTGTCTGTGTGAGTGGCACTAGCTGGTGTCTGTGTGAGTGACACTAGCTGGTGTCTGTGTGAGTGACACTAGCTGGTGTCTGTGTGAGTGCACTAGCTGGTGTCTGTGTGTGTGACACTAGCTGGTGTCTGTGTGAGTGACACTAGCTGGTGTCTGTGTGAGTGACACTAGCTGGTGTCTGTGTGAGTGGCACTATCTGGTGTCTGTGTGAGTGACACTAGCTGGTGTCTGTGTGAGTGGCACTAGCTGGTGTCTGTGTGAGTGACACTAGCTGGTGTCTGTGTGAGTGGCACTAGCTGGTGTCTGTGTGAGTGGCACTAGCTGGTGTCTGTGTGAGTGACACTAGCTGGTGTCTGTGTGAGTGACGCTAGCTGGTGTCTGTGTGAGTGACGCTAGGCACTAGCTGGTGTCCGTGTGAGTGACGCTAGGCACTATCTGGTTGTCTGTGTGAGTGACGCTAGGCACTATCTGGTGTCTGTGTGAGTGGCACTAGGCACTAGCTGGTGTCTGTGTGAGTGACGCTAGGCGCTAGCTGGTGTCTGTGTGAGTGACGCTAGGCACTAGCTGGTGTCTGTGTGAGTGACGCTAGACACTAGCTGGTGTCTGTGTGAGTGGCGCTAGGCACTAGCTGGTGTCTGTGTGAGTGGCGCTAGGCGCTAGCTGGTGTCTGTGTGAGTGACGCTAGGCACTAGCTGGTGTCTGTGTGAGTGGCGCTAGGCACTATCTGTTGTCTATGTGAGTGACGCTAGGCACTAGCCGGTGTCTGTGTGAGTGACGCTAGGCACTAGCTGGTGTCTGTGTGAGTGACGCTAGGCACTAGCTGGTGTCTGTGTGAGTGACGCTAGGCACTAGCTGGTGTCCGTGCGAGTGACGCTAGGCACTAGCTGGTGTCTGTGTGAGTGAGGCTAGGCACTAGCTGGTGTCTGTTTGAGTGGCGCTAGGCACTAGCTGATGTCTGTGTGAGTGACGCTAGGCACTAGCTGATGTCTGTGTGAGTGACGCTAGGCACTAGCTGGTGTCTGTGTGAGTGGCGCTAGGCACTAGCTGGTGTCTGTGTGAGTAACGCTAGGCACTAGCTGGTGTCTGTGTGAGTAACGCTAGGCACTAGCTGGTGTCTGTGTGAGTGGCGCTAGGCACTAGCTGGTGTCTGTGTGAGTAACGCTAGGCACTAGCTGGTGTCTGTGTGAGTGACGCTAGGCACTAGCTGGTGTCTATGTGAGTGACACTAGCTGGTGTCTGTGTGAGTGGCACTAGCTGTTGTCCGTGCGCGTGACGCTAGGCACTACCTGGTGTCTGTGTGAGTGACGCTAGCTGGTGTCTGTGTGAGTGACACTAATCACTAGCTGGTGCCCGTGCGCGTGACCCTAGGCACTATCTGGTGTCTGGTTGAGTGACACTAGCTGGTGTCCTGTGTGAGTGACACTAGCTGGTGTCTGTGTGAGTGACACTAGCTGGTGTCTGTGTGAGTGACACTAGCTGTTGTCCGTGCGCGTGACCCTAGGCACTACCTGGTGTTCGTGCCGTCCGAGCTGCACGCGCTCTCATCGGAGCGGCTCTGCGTCTCGCTGCTGGGCGTGACCGGGGAGGTGACGTTTCGGGCGACGCTCCACTACAAGGACTCGCGTGACACGAGCCACGTGGCACAGAACCACACCGTGGTGGGAGAGGTGGATGCGGGGGTGCTCCTCCAGCCCAGCGGCGGTGACCTCCACCACTGCTTCTCCTTCACGGTGTGGACACCCACTATGCGACGCCCCCTTCGTTTCTTCATTTCTTTCCCTCATTCATTCCCTCCTTCCTTGCCCTTCATTCTCTCCGTATTTCATTCCTTCCCTCCCCCGTTCACTCATTCCTTCGCTCCTTCCTTCCCTCACTCATTCCCTCATTCCTTCCCCTTCATCCTCTCCTTATTTCATTCCTTCCCTCCCCCGTTCACTCATTCCTTCGCTCCTTCCTTCCCCTTCTTTTTTTTACGATCAGTGGAAACAAGAAGATGCTCGGTGTAGTCGGCACTTTGCTTCGTTCATCATTTCGTAATTTTTTATTCTTTTTACATTTTTAAACTTTGCTTTATGTGAACCCCCGCCTCTCGCTCGCTCTCTCGCTCGCTCCCTCGCTCGCTCCCTCGCTCGCTCGCTCCCTCGCTCGCTCCCTCGCTCGCTCCCTCGCTCGCTCCCTCGCTCGCTCCCTCGCTCGCTCTCTCGCTCGCTCCCTCGACTCGCTCCCTCGCTCGCTCCCTCCCTCGCTCGCTCCCTCGCTCGCTCCCTCCCTCGCTCGCTCCCTCGCTCGCTCGCTCCCTCGCTCGCTCGCTCCCTCGCTCGCTCGCTCCCTCGCTCCCTCGCTCGCTCCCTCGCTCGCTCGCTCCCTCGCTCGCTCCCTCGCTCGCTCGCTCCCTCGCTCGCTCGCTCTCTCGCTCGCTCCCTCGCTCGCTCCCTCGCTCACTCTCTCTCGCTCACTCTCTCTCGCTCACTCTCTCTCGCTCACTCTCTCTCGCTCACTCTCTCTCGCTCACTCTCTCTCCGCTCACTCTCTCTCGCTCACTCTCTCCGCTCGCTCTCTCGCTCGCTCTCACCCTCGCTCGCTCTCTCGCTCGCTCCCTCCCTCCCTCGCTCGCTCTCTCGCTCGCTCACTCTCTCGCTCAATTTCTCGCTCAATTTCTCGCTCACTCTCTCGCTCTCTCTCTCGCTCACTCTCTCTCGCTCGCTCTCTCGCTCGCTCTCTCGCTCAATTTCTCGCTCACTCCCTCGCTCACTCTCTCGCTCTCTCTCTCGGTCACTCTCTCGGTCACTCTCTCTGTCACTCTCTCGGTCACTCTCTCTGTCACTCTCTCGGTCACTCTCTCGGTCACTCTCTCTGTCACTCTCTCGGTCTCTCTCTCGGTCACTCTCTCTGTCACTCTCTCGGTCACTCTCTCGGTCACTCTCTCGGTCACTCTCTCTGTCACTCTCTCGGTCACTCTCTCTGTCACTCTCTCGCTCACTCTCTCTGTCACTCTCTCGCTCACTCTCTCGCTCACTCTCTCGCTCACTCACTCACTCACTCTCTCACTCACTCACTCACTCACTCACTCGCTCACTCTCTCTGTCACTCTCTCGCTCACTCTCTCGGTCACTCTCTCGCTCACTCTCTCTGTCACTTTCTCGCTCACTCTCTCGCTCACTCTCTCGCTCACTCTCTCGCTCACTCTCTCTCGCTCACTCTCTCTCGCTCACTCTCTCTCGCTCACTCTCTCGCTCTCTCTCTCTTGGTCACTCTCTCTGTCACTCTCTTGGTCACTCTCTCTGTCACTCTCTCGGTCACTCTCTCGGTCACTCTCTCGCTCACTCTCTCGCTCACTCTCTCGCTCACTCTCTCTCGCTCACTCTCTCTCGCTCACTCTCTCTCGCTCACTCTCTCGCTCTCTCTCTCTCGCTCACTCCCTCGCTCACTCTCTCGCTCACTCTCTCGCTCACTCTCTCGCTCACTCTCTCGCTCACTCTCTCGCTCACTCTCTCGCTCACTCTCTCTGTCACTTTCTCGCTCACTCTCTCGCTCACTCTCTCGTTCTGCACGCAGCCCTTCTCGCAGTCCGACGGCCTCCGACGGGTAGCTCTTATCAGCATGCAGAGCTCCCCGTCATCTGCCACCGAGCACTCCTTCCCTCCTTCCCTGCCTCATTCCTTCTGTAGACGGTGCTGCCTGCTCCCTCTCCTCCCATTGTTAATCCTTTCAAGGAGGGAGGTGGGATGGGCGGAGGGTCAACAGGTCGGTCATTTTGACAACAGCAATAAAATCATAAAGTTGGGAGATGATGAGAAGTGGACACCCCGTTGCATTTCTGTCCTCCTGGGAGAAGTGGGATGACTTGACGATGGGGGGTTTGTGAGTTCTGCAAAATGGAAAACACTTTGTTTCAAAAGTCGTCGTCAGAAGGAAAAAATTGTGAAATCTGCAAAAGCGATCAGAGATAACCCTACAACGTCACAACGGGTCCCTGACGATAGCTCCACATCTCTGTTATAATTAACAGCTGCTTATCGAAACTTAACATCATTTAACATTATTATTGTTATTATTTGACAAACATTTAACAGGAAACATTTTAATACGTAACATCAAACATCCGGTGCGCCTCCCACAGCTCCTGCTAATACTACATGAACGAGACAATACGTACTTATACAATTAATAATGAAGACATTCATATATTAACAATATGCAAACTACAGAAATAATTTAATCACGTAACGTATAAAGTAGTTGATCTTTGGTACCTCATTTGCCAGTAAAAAATATGATAATTGTTTTTTTACCCTTTAATCTGGCAACAAAACATGACTCCTCGTAAAAAAGGTGTCAGTTTTGTTGCCAGATTAAAGGGTAAAAAACAATTATCATAGTTGATCTTTCTTATACGCGAATTGGCAAAGTAACCTATGCAAGAAAAGCCTAGGCTCAGCACAACGTAAAAATTTTGCGCGTTGCACTGTTCATTGCCTTCCCAATGAACAGCGCAACGCAACGCACTGGTGGCGCTCCGAGGTTCACACGCTTTTGTGGTGCGCCCACTTTTGAACACCGCTCGCTTTGCATTTTGACCTTTTTGTAAAGAAGATTCGACGAGGCAGAGCCAGGAGCCTGAATCCTTACCATTGGAGTTCCCCCAGAAACAGCAAAAATTAACCCGTAAAAACAAAGTTTTTCACTATAAATCCTTTATATGCGTGGCATCGGTTTTATTTTATTATTCGTTTCTGTTTTTCTTGAGTAAGAGTTTCATTTTTATCACATTAATATTTTAAATAAAATATGAAAAAAAAAATTCCTAAAAAGTGGAAAATTTTGGGAAAAAAATGTTCACGAAAATAAATTGTCACGCACAACGAGTCTGTGTGCAAAATGTCAGCTCGATTGGATCACGGGAAGTGGGTTAAAAAACGACCGAAAGATTTGCACGGTCGTAAGCGCGCAAGCAAGCAAGCAAGGGAACTTAATATAAAGGATTTTAAAAGCCACTGCGAGTGGCCACGTGGAATGTTAGAACGCTCACTGCGGAGGAGAGGCTAACACTCCTCTGTCGGGAGCTGGACCAGTACCGCCTGGATCTCTGTGGTATTCAGAAGGCCCGGTGGACCGACTCTGGCTCCAGCCACCACGATGTGTGGATAATCCTCTACTCGGGGCATGAGACTGCGAAACAACATGGAGCAGTTCTTCTTCTGAACAAAACAATGAAGGGGGCGTGGGAGCATGGCAGTGAGGTGTGGGAAGCTGTAAGCTGTACTGTGTGTCTCACCTTCCAATCAAACGGAGACAAGGAGTGGTGATGGTGGTTACATATGCCCCAACCGAAGATGAACATCAGTGGAAGGATGCAGGCAAGGCCGATGAGTCGGATGCCTTTTATGACCTCCTGTCACAGGTTCTAGCTAAATTGGCCCCTCGGGACAGAGTCATCCTGTGACTTTAATGCCCGAGTGGGTCATGCTGCTGGCACCTGGGCTGGGGTGATTGGAAGGCATGGACCAGATCAGCTCAATCACAACGGTCGAAGGCTGCTAGACGTATGTGCAGCCCATGGGCTTGTAATTACCAACACGCTGTTCCGGCATCGGAGCATCCACACAACATCATGGATGCACTCTGGGTCCAAGAAAGAACATCTGCTGGACTATATAGTTACGGAACAGCAGATGCGGGCCCATTTCTTTGACGCCAGAACCTACCGTGGAGCTGATCTGCCCACTAACTATCCGCTTGTCATATGTAAGATGCGCCTGTCATTCTTTCACTCCGGTGTTGTGTGTACACCCACATTGGCCTGGTCTCAGCTAGCTGATGAAAGTTGCAAGTGGGAATTTCATCATCGCCTGCGGCTGGGGTTGGCATCGTCCCCCACGCATCCTGATGCCGAGAGGAAATGGGTGAGGTTTAGGACAGTGGCTCATGCAGCTGCAATGGCTGCTTTGGGTACACAGTCTAAGCCTCGCCAGAGACCCTGGCTGATGGAGGAGGTGTTTCGGCTAGCTGAGAAAAAGTGACAGGCCCACTCTCATTGTCTACAGCATCCCACATCGGAGAATGCGGAGGTTTGCCGCGGCCTTCACTTGGCGCTGCAAGGATGGGTGGTGGTCGTGAGTTGCTGAGGAGATGGAGTCTGCCGCAGCAGCCCGCGATCACAAATCACTCTTTAACGCCATCGCCATCAGCGGAACAAAAATAGGTGATCTAATCTCTGACCCCCAGGAGCAGGTTTCCAGATTTTTTGAGCATTTCTGTGAGGTCTTGGGGTAGGGGAAATCCTTCCTCCTGAAAACATAAGGGGCGAAGTGGGGATGATCCTGCTGAGGCTGCGGTGCCTCAAATATTGTAAGAAGTAGTCACCTGTTGTGAGTGGCTGGCTGAAGTGCCATCTATTGAGGAAGTACAGAAGGCGATCCAGACTCTGCTCAAAATCATTAAGGACCTTCATTATGGTGGGCAAGCCCGGGTAAGACTACGTGGCCGGGAGTTGGAGCCAATCCCTGTTCACCTTGGGGTGTGATATGGATGTCCTCTGGCTCCCACATTATTTTAACATCTATTTCGATCACACGGTTCGTCAGAACTTTCCATCTGGTACAGATACAGTGGGTGGCTGATCGATGCCCGGGTGCAGTCAAGGGATGGCTCCCTATTGGTCAATCATGTGACTTATGCTGATGATCTGGTGATTGCTGCTCACATAGAGGAGGAGTTGGAGGCACTGCTGATGAACCTGGAGTGTGCCACTAAGAGGTGGGGCCTTCCCATCAGCCCCACCAAAACTAAGCACCTGCCTGAGTATTTTGTGACATCAAACACTCCACCTCCACAAAGCCCAATTGGTGATGGGGCATTTGTTGAGAGAGTGGAGAGTTTCCCATACCTAGGCAGTGTGCTCATGACCGGCTACGGTTTGAAAGCAGAGGTCTCGCTCTGAATCAGCCAAACGGCATTATCTTTTCATCGGTTGCATAATGCTGTGTGGAAGCTACCTGGTCTGTCGCTCTACACTAAGCTCCGGGTCTTTTCAGCCACAGCCATGCCCTCCCTTCTCTGCGCTTGCGAAACGGGGATCCCCCTAATTGAACATCTTCGCCGGTGAGAAACATATCTCCTGATCTTAATAATCATAATACAACGCACCTGTTGGCTATGCAAAATGGTGACTTAGCTTCCCATATACTACATAGTCCACAATTCCTTCATTCCTTCCCTTCTTCCTTCCCTCATTTGTTAATTCATTCCCTTTCTCCCTTCCTTCCTCGCCGTATTCCTTCGCTCCCTCGTTATTTCATTCCCTCCTTCATTTCTTCCTTCCTTCATCCCTCCTTCCCTCATCCTTCCTTCCTTAACCTCTCTCCTGTGCCGGCCTTCACGCCCCAAGACAAAGATCCCCCGTATAGCCTTAACAGACTGTAGGGGCAAGTGCTGTTAGCGAGCACCTACGAAGGCCGGAACGGTACACGAGGGGGTGGGTGGCCAGCACCACGCTCGACCGCCTTTGTCTCCCCAGTGGCGATGTTTACTACACAGCACACCAGGTACTCATTTGAGGCCAAGTCAACCTCGGGGAGGCCCAGGACAGGTTCAGATAATCGTGACCAATGTTGCGCTCACCCCTACACTACCTCTCCCCACCGACATGCACACATAACACACGTATACACACACACACACGTACACACGTACACACGCACACACACACACGCACACACACACGCACACACGTACACACGCACACACACACACACGTACACACGTACACACGCACACACGCACACACACACGTATACACACACACACGTACACACGCACACACGCACACACACACACGTATACACACACACACACACGCACACACACACACGCACACACACACACACGCACACATACACACCAAACGGCGTGAAGACCGCAGTGCCAAGCGGGAAGAATGAGTAGATCAGCAGCAGGTCACGTGGTTGATGACGGCTATGACGGTGACGACGACGATAATGACGACAATGGCCACGACGACGACGATGACGACGACGATCGCCATGACGACGACGATGATGACGACAATGGCCGCGATGATGACGACGACGATCGCCGTGACGACGACGACGATCTCCACGTCGACGATCGCCGTGACGACGACGACGACGATCGCCGTGACGACGATCGCCGTGACGACGACGACGACGATCGCCGTGACGACGATCGCCGTGACAACGACAACGATCGCCATGACCCCCTTGACATCGATGCCTCCGGCGTTCGCGGCGCCGCGCAGGTCCCCGACGTCCAGGGGACGACGTACGCCAACCTCGTGGTGCGAGCGGCCGGCGAGGGGCTCAACTTCACCAAGACGCACGCGGTGGTGGTGCGGAAGGCCAAGGACGTCGTCTTCGTGCAGACGGACAAGCCCGTCTACAAGCCCGGCCAGAGCGGTGAGCGGGAAGGCCGTCCCCCACCCCCCTTTCCCTAACAGTCTGTTCAGGCTATACGGGGGGCCTTTGTCTTTGTGTCTTTGCGCGTGTGTGTGTGCAAAGATAAGTATTTCCCGTGTAGCCTCTAACAGACTGTTTGGGCAAGAGTTGTCAGTAGCGAATAGCAGCGCCTACACACAGACAAAGATCCCCCGTGTAGCCTCTAACAGACTGTTTGGGCAAGAGTTGTCAGTAGCGAATAGCAGCGCCTACACACAGACAAAGATCCCCCGTGTAGCCTCTAACAGACTGTTTGGGCAAGAGTTGTCAGTAGCGAATAGCAGCGCCTATACACAGACAAAGATCCACCGTGTAGCCTCTAACAGACTGTTGGGGCAAGTACTGTCAGTAGCGAGTAGCAGCACCTATACACAGACAAAGATCCCCCGTGTAGCCTCTAACAGACTGTTGAGGCAAGTGTTTTTAGTAGCGAGTAGCAGCAGCACCTATACACAGACAAAGATCCACCGTGTAGCCTCTAACAGACTGTTGGGGCAAGTGCTGTCAATAGCGAGTAGCAGCGCCTATACACAGACAAAGATCCAGTGGAGTAGAGTGTAGAGTGTAGTGTATATTATAGTGTATAATGGGGTAGCGTAGTGCATAATAGTGTAGTGTATTATAGTGGAGTGTAGTGTAGAGTGTAGTGTAGAGTATAGTGTATAATGGGGGTAGCGTAGTGTATAATAGTGTAGTGTATTATAGTGGAGTGTAGTGTAGAGTGTAGTGTAGAGTATAGTGTATAATAGGGTAGCGTAGTGCATAATATTGTAGTGTATTATAGTGGAGTGTAGTGTAGAGTGTAGTGTAGAGTATAGTGTATAATGGGGTAGCGTAGTGCATAATGGCAGGGAGGCGGGGGGTGGTTATCCGGTCCGTCTCACGAACGCTCGGTTCGCGATAAAAGAAACTAACCCCCACACAGCGTGGACATGCAATGTCCAGCGGGTCGATGACATTTCGGAATTTTTCGCGTGCGCCAAGAAAAAATGTCACGTCGGCACGCGCCACGCGAGGTCGTCACAGAGACCCGCAAAGAGACCCACAGACTCACGCAGAGACCCACAGACTCACACAGAGACTCGCACAGAGACCCACAAACTCACACACAGAGTCACACAGAGACCCACAGACTCACGCAGAGACCCACAGACTCACACAGAGACCCACAGACTCACACAGAGACTCGCACAGAGACCCACAGACTCACACACAGAGTCACACAGAGACCCACAGACTCACGCAGAGACCCACAGACTCACACAGAGACCCACAGACTCACACAGAGACTCGCACAGAGACCCACAGACTCACACACAGAGTCACACAGAGACCCACAGACTCACGCAGAGACCCACAGACTCACACAGAGACCCACAGACTCACACAGAGACCCGCACAGAGACCAACAGACTCCCACAAAGACCCACAGACTCGCACAGAGAATCAAACAGAGACCCACAGACTCACACAGAGACCCACAGACTCACACAGAGACTCGCAGAGAGACCCATAGACTCACACAGAGACCCACAGACTCCCAGAGAGACCCAAAGACCCACACAGAGACTCACAGAGACACACAGACTCGCACAGAGAATCAAACAGAGACCCACAGACTCACACAGAGACCCACAGACTCACACAGAGACCCACAGACTCACACAGAGACTCGCAGAGAGACCCATAGACTCACACAGAGACCCACAGACTCGCACAAAGACTCATAGACTCACACAGAGACCCACAGACTCCCACAAAGACCCACAGACTCGCACAGAGACTCACACAGAGACCCACAGACTCGCACAGAGACCCACAGACTCGCACAGAGACTCACACAGAGACCCACAGACTCGCACAGAGAATCAAACAGAGACGCACAGACTCACACAGAGACCCACATACTCACACAGAGACCCACAGACTCGCACAGAGACTCACACAGAGACCCACAGACTCGCACAGAGAATCAAACAGAGACGCACAGACTCGCACAGAGACCCATAGACTCACACAGAGACCCACAGACTCGCAGCAAGACCCAAAGTCTCACACAGAGACTCACAGAGACACACAGACTCACACAGAGACCAACAGACTCCCACAAAGACCCACAGACTCGCACAGAGACTCACACAGAGACCCACAGACTCGCACAGAGACTCGCAGAGAGACCCAAAGTCTCACACAGAGACTCACAGACTCACACAGAGACTCACAGACTCACACAGAGACACACAGACTCGCACAAAGACCCATAGACTCACACAGAGACCCACAGACTCGCAGCAAGACCCAAATTCTCACACAGAGACTCACAGAGACACACAGACTCACACAGAGACCCACAGACTCCCACAAAGACCCACAGACTCGCACAGAGACTCACACAGAGACCCACAGACTCGCACAGAGACTCGCAGAGAGACCCAAAGTCTCACACAGAGACTCACAGACTCACACAGAGACTCACAGACTCACACAGAGACACACAGACTCACACAAAGACCCATAGACTCACACAGAGACCCACAGACTCACACAGAGACTCACAGACTCACACAGAGACACACAGACTCACACAAAGACCCATAGACTCACACAGAGACCCACAGACTCACACAGAGACTCACAGACTCACACAGAGACACACAGACTCACACAAAGACCCATAGACTCACACAGAGACCCATAGACTCACACAGAGACACACAGACTCGCACAGAGACTCACACAGAGGTCTTCATATGTGCTGCTCGCTAACAGCACTTGCCCCAACAGTCTGTTCACTCTATACGGGGGATCTTTGTCATTGTTTGTGTGTCTCTGTGTGTGCAGTTAAATTCAGAGTGGTCACCTTGGATGAGAATTTTGCAACCGTCTTGAAAACGGTAAGAAATCGTCTCTAAGAGTTTCTAAGCCAATGGTTCTTATAACCGTGACTGCAGCATTGCACCCATTTGGTTCACAATCGTAAATGTGAGCGGGAATCGAACTCGGGTCGCCAGGTTCGTAGCACAGTGCGCTTTGCTAACTGCTACACCACCGCTCCCCACACACACAGACGCACACACAGATACACACACAGACACAAAGACACACACAGAAACACGAACACACACGCAGACACACACACAGATACACACGCACAGACAGACACACACAGAGACAGACACACAGAAACACAAACACGCAGATACACACCTACACACACGCCCATCACACATGCAGACACACGCAGACACACATGCAGACACACACACACACAGACAGACACACAGATACACGCTGACACACATGCAGATACACACACACATGAAGATAAAGATCCCCCGTATAGCCTTAACAGACTGTAGGGGCAAGTGCTGTTAGCGAGCACCTATGAAGGCCGGAACGGTACACGAGGGGGTGAGTGGCCAGCACCACGCCCGACCGCCTTTGTCTTCCCAGCGGCGATGTTTACACACTGCACCAGGTACTCCTTTGAGGCTGAGTCGACCTAGGGGAGGCCCAGGACCGGTTCAGATAATCGTCACTGGTGTTGGCCGTGAGCGGGAATCGGAACCCGTGTCGCCGGGTTCGTAGCGCAGCGTAGCGCTAACCACTGCACTTTTGCACACACACACATATACGCAGACACACAAACACACACCCCACACGTGCCTCAAAGTTGGCCGGCAAATCTCAAAGTAAACGGACATCAAGGACGACGCGAGGCCACGTGTGTAGATAACGCCTTGTAATGTTTAACCGAGCATTGTCGATTTTAACTGACTCGCCATTTCCAAGCCTGACCCAGGGGTGGGTTCTGTAAACACCTGGGGGCAGATCAGAGGTCGCAACCGGGTACCCGATACCCGTACCCTAGCCGATACCTGGCTACCCGTACCCGGCCGGGTACGGGTAGCCGTTTGCGACCCTGGTGCGGCCAGGTACGGGTAGGCCGTGAGTCACTGGTGAGTAGCCGTTTGTCACTCATTTCGGGTAGGGTACGGGTAGGGAACGGGTACCCGTACCAGGCCGGGTACGGGAACCCGTTTGCAACCCTGGTGCGGCCGGGTACGGGTACGGGTAGGCCGTGAGTCACTGGTGAGTAGCCGTTTGTCACTCATTTCGGGTAGGGTACGGGTAGGGAACGGGTACCCGTACCAGGCCGGGTACGGGTACGGGTAGCCGTTTGCAACCCTGGTGCGGCCGGGTACGGGTACGGGTAGGCCGTGAGTCACTGGTGAGTAGCCGTTTGTCACTCATTTCGGGTAGTGTATGGGTACGGATAGGGAACGGGTACCCGTACCAGGCCGGGTACGGGTACGGGAACCCGTTTGCGACCCTAGTGCGGCCGGGTACGGGTACGGGTAAGGAATCAAAACCCGTTTGCGACCTCTGGGGCAGATCCACCAGCTTTGAACCGAGCAGAGCCCGACCCTGCTGGTGATGATGCTGATGAGGAATTGAATGTTGAAACCGGACCTTGTGTGTAACCATCTGGGGGCAGTTCCACCAGCGTTGGTTCGAGTAAAATATGTGTGACCGTTACTAACCGATCGTGCTATGTTTTCCATATCTTTTGCAGTACGCTCTCATATATATCGAGGTAAGATGCCACAATGTATACCTATATTATTATTACAATGTATTATGATCTGTTAAAGTGCTGTGCAGGGACTCATTTACTTAAGAACGAGTGAGGTTCCAGATGTTTGTTCGTAACTCAATTTGTTGATACGTCCCAAATTTCTCCTGTCGATTGCAAACATGGTGTACAGCATTTACATTCAACACCATGAATGGATTTAAAAGTTGGAAAATCTCCTGTGGATGAATATTCCACTGGTGTTTTCACACTATGCGGATGTAGATGCCACTGGTTCTTCACGTTCAACCACTATCATCACAACCACTGCCACCGTCACCAGCACCATCACCCCAACCGCCACCACCACCACCAGCACCACTACCACCATCACCCCAACCACCACCACTCCAGCACCACCATCACCCCAACCGACACCAACACCACCACCATCACCCCAACCGCCACCACCACCACCAGCACCACCATCACCCCAAAAGGCCACCACCACCACCACCAGCACCACCATCACCCCAACCGACACCAACACCACCACCATCACCCCAACCATCACCACCAGCACCATCACCCCAACCACCACTACCACCACCACCACCACTAGCACCATCACCCCAACCACCACTACCACCACCACCACAATCACCCCAACCACCACCACCACCCCAACCGCCACCACCACCACCAGCACCACCATCACCCCAAACGCCAACACCACCACCAGCACCACTACCACCATCAACCCAACCACCATCACCCAACCGCCACCACCCCAACCGCCACCACCACCATCACCACAACCACCATCACCACAACAACCACCACAACCACCACCACCAACCACCACCAACACCACCACCCCAACTGCCACCACCAGCACCCCAACCACCACCACCACCATAACCCCAACCACCAACCACCACCACCCCAACTGCTACCACCACCACCAGCACCACCATCACCCCAAACGCCACCACCACCACCAGCACCACTACCACCATCAACCCAACCACCATCACCCCAACTGCCACCACCCCAACCGCCACCACCACCATCACCACAACCACCACCACCATCACCACAACAACTACCACAACCACCACCACCAACCACCACCAACACCACCACCCCAACCGCCACCACCAGCACCCCAACCACCACCACCACCATAACCCCAAACACCAACCACCACCACCCCAACCGCTACCACCACCACCAGCACCATCATCATCTCAACCACCACCAACCACCACCACCAGCACCACTACCACCATCAACCCAACCACCATCACCCCAACCGCCACCATCCCAACCGCTACCACCACCACCACCATCACCCCAACTGCCACCACCAACCACCACCACCACAACCACCACCACCACAACCACCACCACCACCACCACCACCCCAACCACCACCAACCACCACCACCACAACCACCACCAGCAGCACCACCTGAATGTCTGCACGTCACCGCAGGACCCGCAGAGAAACCGCATCGCGCAGTGGAGGAACGCGAGCGGCCGGGCGGGCATCGTGCAGCTCGAGCTGGACATGCCCTCCGAGCCGCCACTGGGCACCTACAACGTGATGGTGGTGGAGCAGAGCGGCGGAGACTCCGTCGCCTCGCACACCTTCACCGTGGAGGAGTACGGTAGGGGAGAAAGGGGGATGGAGGGCGGTGGACAGGAGGTCGATGTACGTTCAGTCAAAATGTCACATGGGGGCGGATAGGGGGTTGCCTCTGTGTGAGGAGTCTGTGGGTGTCTGTGTGGGGGTCTGTGGGTGTCTGTGTGAGTATGTGGGTCTCTGTGTGCTGAGTCTGTGGGTGGCTGTGTGAGTCTGTGGGTGTCTCTGTGTGAGTCTGTGGGTGTTTGTGTGAGTCTATAGGTCTCTGTATGACGAGTCTGTGGGTCTCTGTGTAAGGAGGCTGTGGGTGTCTGTGTGCGTCTGTGGGTGTCTGTGTGAGTCTCCGGGGCTCTGTGTGAGGAGTCTGTGGGTCTCTGTGTGAGTCTGTGGGTCTTCGTGTGAGTCTGTGGGTGTCTGTGTGAGGAGTCTTTGTGTCTCTGTGTGAATCCGTGAGTCTCTGTGTGGCAACGGGGAGGCCATCATCCAGCAGTGGATTGACAAGAGAGATTTACGTGTGTACAGTGTATTTTATTTAACCATGTACATGATGATGATCGCTACGTGATAATTGTTGTTTCCATTCTAATTGCAGTGCTCCCAACTTTCGAGGTCTCCATTCAGACGCCATCCTACCTGAACTATCTGGATAAGAGTGTCACTCTGAAAGTTTGTGGCAGGTATGCACTGAGCTGAGTATCGCTCTGGGTTGGTTCACAATGGCAGTGTCAGAGACATTGAGCAAATATTCACGAAATCCTGAGTTTGAGTCCTGGGTCTGGGTGTCTTTAAGGGTTGGTTCACAATGGCTTTGTTAGAGACATTGGGCCAGGATGTATGGGAACTTGGGTTCGAGCCCTGTATCTGAGTGTCTCTCTCTCTGGGTTGGTTTACATTGACCATGTTAGAGACATTTGGTCAGTATTTATGAGATCCTGGGTTTGAGCCCTGGGTCTGGGTGTCTTTCTCTGGGGGTTCATAATGGGCATGTTAGAGACATTTGGCCAGTATTTATGAGATCCTGGGTTTGAGCCCTGGGTCTGGGTGTCTTTCTCTGGGGGTTCATAATGGCCTTGTTAGAGACATCTAGCCAGTATTTATGAGATCCTGGGTTTGAGCCCTTGGTCTGGGTGTCTTTCTCTGAGGGTTCATAATGGCCATGTTAGAGACATTTAGCCAGTAATAGGAGATCCTGGATTTGAGCCCTGGGTCTGGGTGTCTTTCTCTGAGGGTTCATAATGGCCATGTTAGAGACATTTAGCCAGTAATAGGAGATCCTAGGTTTGAGCCCTGGGTCTGGGTGTCTTCCTCTGGGGGTTCATAATGACCATGTTAAAGACATCTAGCCTGTATTTATGAGATCCTGGGTTTGAGCCCTGGGTCTGGGTGTCTTTCTCTGAGTGTTCATAATGGCCATGTTAGAGACATTTGGCCAGTATTTATGAGATCCTGGGTTTGAGCCCTTGGTCTGGGTGTCTTTCTCTGGGGGTTCATAATGGCCATGTTAGAGACATTTATCCAGTATTTATGAGATCCTAGGTTTGAGCCCTTGGTCTGGGTGTCTTTCTCTGGGGGTTCATAATGGCCATGTTAGAGACATTTAGCCAGTATTCATGAGATCCTAGGTTTGAGCCCTTGGTCTGGGTGTCTTTCTCTGGGGGTTCATAATGGCCATGTTAGAGACATTTAGCCAGTATTTATGAGATCCTGGGTTTGATCCCTGGGTCTGGGTGTCTTTCTCTGAGGGTTCATAATGTCCATGTTAGAGACATCTAGCCAGTAATAGGAGATCCTGGGTTTGAGCCCTGGGTCTGGGTGTCTTTATCTGTGGGTTCATAATGTCCATGTTAGAGACATTTGGCCAGTATTTATGAGTTTCTGCGTGAGACACTTGAGTGTTTTATTAAATGAAAGTAGAATTTGTGTGACCCTGGTGCGAATTCACGAGACCAAGACGAGAGCCGCATTAGGCTGAGGAGTCACCAACGTGACGACACAAAACTCATCAACGAGAGCAGAGAAGCACATCACGTCTGTATGTGAATGGATGGGCGGTTAAAAAAAAAATGGGTGGGTGGGATTCCTCCTCCCTCCCTCCCTCCCTCCTCACCAACCTCCTCAACCTCCTCCTCCCTCCTCCTCCTCCCCTCCTCCCCCTCCTCCCCTCCTCCCCTCCTCCTCCCCTCCTCCTCCTCCTCCTCCCCCTCCTCCTCCTCCCCCTCCTCCTCCTCCTCCCCTCCTCCTCCTCCCCCTCCTCCTCCCCCTCCTCCCCCTCCTCCCCCTCCTCCTCCTCCCCCTCCTCCTCCTCCCCCCTCCTCCTCCCCCTCCTCCTCCCCCTCCTCCTCCCCCTCCTCCTCCTCCTCCCCCCTCCTTCCTCCTCCTCCTCCCCCTCCTCCCCCTCCTCCTCCTCCCCCTCCTCCTCCTCCCCCCTCCTCCTCCCCCTCCTCCTCCCCCTCCTCCTCCTCCTCCCCCTCCTCCTCCTCCTCCCCCCTCCTTCCTCCTCCTCCTCCCCCTCCTCCCCCTCCTCCCCCTCCTCCTCCTCCTCCCCCCTCCTCCTCCCCCTCCTCCTCCTCCCCCCTCCTTCCTCCCCCCTCCTCCTCCTCCTCCCCCCTCCTTCCTCCCCCCTCCTCCTCCTCCTCCTCCCCCAGTCTAAAATAAAGATTCCGAACCTCAATATATAACACTGGTCAATACACTTTTTCTGGCACAAGGTATTCCAACGGTTTTAATGTAATTTTGGGGTGCTGATTCCATATCTGGCATCAGTTTTTGTCTATCACATCAGGTTTTTGAGATATCAAATATTGCATTTTCAATAAAAACTGCAGAAGAAAATATTAAATAAATGTGGATATCTATATAAAATGATATTATAAACACACTATCCTAAAAAATACAGCACCATATTTTAACACTAAAGCAGTCACTGAATCGCAACAACTTGCAATCATAAGTGACAGAGTTAATTTCGGGTAAAATCAATGAAAATGGGGTATGCCTATAGCATAAAATGAGATGCGATAGAGCAAATCTGAGACCAGATTTGGAATCAGCACCCTGAAATTAGTCTAGAACAGCTGCAAAAGTCCAGGCCAGAAAAAAATGTTTTTTGTTGACCAGTGTAATCAGAGCCATTTCATTTTAAGCTGCCGTGCCGGGTGCAGGATTTTTTTTTATTTTTTACAATTTGGTCATTTGGGCTTTTTCTACATTTCCACAGGTACACGTATGGGAAGCCAGTGCACGGTGCTGTGAATGCAAGCGTGTGCATTCAGGGCCAGCCCAGGTTCTGGTGGCGGGAAGAATGCATCATTCCAGTCTGCAACGAGTTCTTCATGAAAGTAAGCGAGTTGGGGGTGTGAAGGAGGTTGCCTGTGTCTTGCTGTCGAGTAGCGTTTAGCCCGCGACGAACCCGGCGACCCCAGTTTGATTCCCGCTAACGGCAACTAATCCATGGAGATCGGTTTCTCCTGGAATCAATTATATAAAAATAAAAAAATCTTGAAAAATGTCACTGATTAATCCATTTCGGCCACTGGACATTGGTGGGGAAGAAAAAAAAACTACTGGCACATCCGGTAGAAGAAAAGAGCTTCATAGCTTTTCAGATTTCCTCCGGTAGAAAATTAATGCGGGGCACTCCTTAACTTTCACGGATAGATACGCTCCTGGAAAGGGATACGCGTGGCTCCAATGTCGCGTTACGTCAAAGCAATTTTCCCCTTAAAAAATTATGGCGAAGGGTTTAGGGGATTTCACGAACAACTCGCACACATTTTCGCCAATATTCTCCTAACCTATATCGATAGATTCCAAGAACACAGGATGAGATGTTACTATCCTTTGTGCAAGCACTTTCAAGAGTTCATGAACAGTGAGCCTGGTGACATTTGGGGAGCGCATCGTCAGTAGTGAACCTTTGGTTCCTAGGATGTTTCGGCCTTTCATACTATGCACCCTCCCCAAAGGCGGCCAGCGACAGGGTGATCAATCATACGCTTGCGTCCCATTCCCAATTAGTCATAGGAGTTGCCTTGTTGTTGATAGCCAACATCTCATGGGACTATGCATAGCAGGGGCGTCCTCCTCCCTGAGTCAAGCATTGTTGACTGCATACCTCCTGGCCCTCTCACTTTGGGGCCCAGCTGGGGTCTTTCCTCTTCATCCAGAGCCACTGACTGCTGACTTCTGCCGCCTCCGATACAACACATATACGTAATATAACACTCGATCCTTCATTCTTAACAACTTGCTACAGCTCCCTCTCATTCATTATCCCTCCACAACCTGTCCTCTCTCTAATTTCTCTTGGCACCTAATTTTTTCTTCGATTTAAAGCTTTCGTGACTGCAGCAGGGATTCGTCTTCTTGGTTCTTTCGGTAAAGTCACGTAGAAGGGAAATAATAAAAGAATAAAAATAAAACATAACAAAATCATTCTCACGACGTTACGGCCACAACGCAAGCAGCCGTCCTCAGGTGTAGAACAGGAGTCTGTCGGAAAGTCAATAAAACGGAGAAGAAACGTTACCCGGAGCCACTGAAATACATATGCAATGGAGATAACACAGTCGCTGAAAGCAGGTGGTTAAGGGATGATCAATGAGAGGGTACCGAGGACAGGCGGTTGAGATTTCAGGACAGGGAGGCAGATATCAAGGGGTAGAGTTGCCTGCTGTAGGCGCGCTTGCTTGGGACAAAGACGGAGGCTGCACAGCTACACTGGAACTCTTACTCGTCAAGAGTTGCGAAACGCCCCCCCCCCCCCCCCCCCCGGTGGACAGCTTAAATAGACACTCCAAGCCTAAGACGTGTCATTTAGACTCTGTCTTATCGACAGACATGTTCTTCACCTGAGGACGGCTGCTTGCGTTGTGGCCGAAACGTCGTGAGAATTTACACTATGGAGACCTCATTTGCCAGTAAAAATATGATGATTGGTTCTTTACCCTTCTATCTGGCAACAAAACTGACACCTTTTTGCAAGGAGTCATGTTTGCATAGACCGCAATACCTGCAGTCATAATACAAACAAAAGAACATAACTCTGATAAAAAACCAATTATCATATTTTTTACTGGCAAATGAGGTTCCAATGGTGGGGACAGTGCACATTATCAGAGTTATGTTCTTTTGTTTGTATTATGACTGCAGGTATTGCGGTCTATGCAAACATGACTCCTTGCAAAAAGGTGTCAGTTTTGTTGCCAGATAGAAGGGTAAAGAACCAATTATCAATTGTCGTGAGAATTATTTTGTTATGTTTTATTTTTATTATTTTATTATTTCCCTTCTACGTGACTTTACCGAAAGAACCAAGAAAATGAATCCCTGCAGTCACGAAAGCTTTAAATCGAAATTTTATTATGTTTAGTTTTTATTATTTTATTACTTCCCTTCTACGTGACTTTACCGAAAGAACCAAGAAGATGAATCCCTGCAGTCACGAAAGCTTTAAATCGAAATGTTAATGAAAGGGTCTTACCTTCTATCTGGCAACAAAACTGACACCTTTTTTACGAGGAGTCATGTTTGCATAGACCACAATACCTGCAGTCATAATGCAAACAAAAAACACAACTCTGATAATGTGTGCACTGTCCTTGAAGTTGATTGGTCCACACCCGAGACAGCTTTCCTTAGAGCCTAGTCTCACATGGTGTTGGACCAGATGACGCCAAAAAGGCGCACAACTCAAAGACAATGCACCATAAGAGTATGAGAGCTCGGGGTAAGCATTTACACCATTGGTACATCATTTGCCAGTAAAAAACATGATAATTGTTTTTTTACCCTTTTATCTGGCAACAAAACTGACACCTTTTTTACGAGGAGTTGTGCGCCTTTTGGCGTCATCTGGTCCAACCCATGTGAGACTAGGCTCTAAGGAAAGCTGTCTCGGGTGTGGACCAATCAACTTCAAGGACAGTGCACATTATCAGAGTTGTGTCTTTTGTTTGTATTATGACTGCAGGTATTGTGGTCTATGCAAACATGACTCCTCGTAAAAACTGAGTCAGTTTTGTTGCCAGATAAAAGGGTAAAAAACCAATTATCATAATTTTTTACTGCCAAATGAGGTACCAATGGTGGTCTTACCTTCCTCGTCTTCAACACCTCGTAGGGGCTTCTTTACAAAAAGGTCTCAACGCAAAGCGAAGCATTATTCGAAAGTGGGCGCGCCGCAGAAGAGCGTGAAACCGTGGATCACCTTGCACTCTGCATCTGACCCATTGCGAACTTCCGATACGACAGGTGGGGAAGGACGGATGCGCGGAGTGGCAAGTGGACAACGCCAAGCCAAGCAACGCCTCCTGTCACACGACGCACGTTCTGAAAGTCGTGGCTGTGCTGGAGGAGGAGGGAACAGGTATCTTTTTTTTTATCCTTTATATTAAGTTCGCTTGCTTGCTTACGACAGTGCAAACCTTTCGGTCGTTTTTTAACCCACTTCCCGTGATCCAATCAAGCTGACATTTTGCACATAAACTCGTTGTGCGAGACAATTAATGTTCGTGAAAATTTTTTTTCCAAAATTTGACACTGTTTAGGGAAAACAAATTAAATATTTAATTACCAATTGTTAAATACTGCAGACAATCATCTGACCCATAGGTGGCAGCCATCTCAAGCCAGAGGACGAGAGGACTCTAGCCGCCACGCATATAAAGGATTTAGAGTGAAAAACTTTGTTTTTATGGGTTATACTTATTTGCCGATCTTATTTTGTTTGCATGATATTTTACCTCCGGTGGCTAGGAGATGTTGACTAACCTCGCCTGCTATGCAAGGAGGCCGTCAGTTCGATCCCCCGACCAGAGGTCGCAAACGGGTTTTGATTCCTTACCCGTACCCATACCCGGCCGCACCAGGGTCACAAACAGGTACCCGTACCCATACCCGGCCGGGTAGGGTACGGGTATCGGGTACCCGATTGCGACCTCTGGGATGAAGCCATGTTGCAGGCGCGGGTGGGTTGATTCTAGGAACTTGAATTGTGAGAAGAGACAAGACGTTGGGAAATGAGTGACAAACGGTTACTCATCAGTGACTCACAGTTTACCCGTACCCGGCCGCACCAGGGTCACAAACGGGTACCCGTACCCGGCCGGGTACGGGTAGCCGGGTATGGGGTAGGGTACAGGTATCGGGTACCTGATTGCGACCTCTGCCCCCGACCCTGAAGATGGAGTTTGGCACATCTCTCTCTCTTCCCGCAGTGGTCGCATGGATTGTGTGAGTGAGTGGGTGGGTTAGTGTGTGTGGGTGAGTGGGTGAGTGGGTGAGTGAGTGAGTGCGTGAGGTTGGTGGGTGAATGAGTGAGCGGTTGGGTGAGTGAGTAGACGGATGAGTGAGTGGGTAACTCATGTTTTTCCCTCCACTATTAGAAGCGACATCACGCAGTCTTAGAGTGAGAATAGGTTTTCCCCTTTTTTCTGGCAACAAAACAGGTGTTAAGATTATGAGACCTCCTTTACCAGTGACAAAATATAGTAGTAGGTTTTTAACCTTTAAACTGGTACAAAACTGACACCTTTATACAAGACATCATGTTTGCAATAACCGCAACACAAGCAGTCAAAATGCAATGAGTGAGCGGTTTCTTTTTGTTTGCATTTTGACTGCTTGTGTTGCGGTTATTGCAAACATGATGCCTTGTATAAAGGTGTCAGTTTTGTACCAGTTTAAAGGGTAAAAACCTACTACTATAGGTGTTAAGATTTTAAAACACCAAACTGAAACCTTTTACAAGGAATCATGTCTGCATTAACCACAATACTTGTCTCAAACGGTGTTAGACCAAAGGACGCTTTAAAGAAAGCTGTCTCTGGTGTGGACCAATCAGTTTCAAAGGCAATGCATATATTTCATGGGACCTCCTTTGCCAGTACCAAAATATACTAATAGGGTTTTTCCCCTTTTTTTTCTGGCAACAAAACTGACACCTTTTGCAAGGAATCATGTTTACATTAACCACAATACTTGCAGTCAAATGCACCTTTTGGCGTCATCTGGTCGAACACCATGAGACTAGGCTCCAAAGAAAGCTGTCTCTGGTGTGGACCAATCAGTTTCAAAGACAATGCATAAATTATCAGAGTTGTGTTTTTTGTTTGCATTTGACTGCAAGTATTGTGGTCAATGTAAGCATGATTCCTTGCAAAATGTGTCAGTTTTGTTGCTAGAAAAAATGGGAAAAACCCTATTAATGCATATATTATCAGAGTATCTTCTTGGTTCTTTCGGTAAAGTCACGTAGAAGGGAAGTAATAAAATAATAAAAATAAAACAATATAATAATTCTCACGACGTCATGAGAATATTTTATTGTGTTTTATTTTTATTATTTTATTACTTCCCTTCTACGTGACTTTACCAAAAGAACCAAGAAGATGAATCCCTGCAGTCACGAAAGCTTTAAGTCGAAATTTATCAGAGTATGTTTTTAAGTTTGCATTCTGACCACGCATTGTGGTTACTGCAGACATTGATTCCTTGTAAAAGGTTTCAGTTTAGAGTTTTAACATCTTAACACAGCTGTTTTGTTGCCAGAAAAACAGGGAAAAGCCTCGTTGCAAATTTTTGTACTGGCAAAGGAGGTCCCATGATGAAGCCTTAGAGTGTTTGGCCGCTATACATTTCCACGCGATAATGACGATGATAAGACGCCACTCCGTTGGGCTAACATTTTCGATAGCCAGGGGCCGCTTCTGACAAAAGGGCTATCTTTCTTCATTATTGACAACTTGCATCTCAGCACACGGCAGACGCCTGCGCAGCGCGACTCACGACCTCCTCTTGATACCAAGATCCAGGATGGTCATCGTGTCTATGCGCCGCTTCTCGGTGGCAGCCCCAACAGTCTGGAACGATATCATCCCTCTGCACATTCGCAGCATCACACCTCAATCGCCTCCTTCAAGAGAGACTTAGAAACTCACCTCTACAATCATGCTTTTGAGCGACTCTGAGCTTGGCTCCGCGCCTCTGAGTTGCGGCCACTACGTCTGCAAATTTGCGCGCGTTACAAATTGTACTATTATTATTATTAAATCCACTTGGTTGAGCGCTGACACTTTGTAAAATGAAAACTTTCGACGCTGGAACTTTACCGGCAAATTCCTCGATTGTAATGGCACACACGCAGACAGCAGCAACGTCGCCCCCCCCCCCCCCCCCACCTGCCTTACAATTACAACAACACGACAGGACCCCCCCGCCCCCCCAACCCCCCCCCGAAACATTCTTCCACTTCGACGCTCGATGTTCCAGTCGAAAATGTTTGCTTGCTTTTCGAACGTTTCGGGGGTTAAAAAAAAACCCAGATCGATTGCCACATTCCCACCCCCACGCCCCCCACCCCCTCCACCCCTGCCGCATCTGGTGGTGGAGGGTTAATGGTGCCAGACCGTGTCTCACCTATGAAGGGCCTTCATAGGTGACACTACTAGCTCACGGCACTCATGCCAATGGTTTGTTAAGGCTATGCGGGGGATCTTTGTCGGTATTGTAGCGGTTAGCATTGTGCTGCAAACCCAGGTCCAATTTCCCACTCACGGCCAACACCAGCGAAGATTATCTAAACCGGTCCCGGGCATCTCCTGGATCAAATTGGCCTCAAATGAGTACCTGGTGCAATGTGTAAACATCGCCACTGGGGGGAGACAAAGGCGGCCGGGGGTGGTGCTGGCCACCCAACCCCCTCGTATGCCACAGTGCCGGCCTTCATAGGTGCTGCTACTCGCCCACAGCATTTGCCCCAACATTCTGTTAAAGCCTCTTTGTTTTGCACCCCCCCCCCCCTTACCGCCTGCACAGGAATGAAAATGAAACAGAAGGCAGAGAAGAACTTTGAGACGGACATAACCCGGATCTCGTTCGTCGACATGCCCTCGTGGTACCGACACGGGCTTCCAATTGTGGGAAAGGTAATCCGAGCAGAGCACATCTCAGCAGAACTGCGGTGTATCTTGACCCATCATGACGCCTTCATTCCCAATCGTTGTCGTTAGAAGTCGCCCTCTGAGCTTGTCAACAACCTGGGCACCCGACATTGCATTTGCAAAGCGAACATCTCTGACACCACAACCACAGTGACTTTTTCTTTGTACGGTGCGTGATTTGTAGCGTTTATTTTCATTTGTTTGCTGGTGGCTTTGTGTATTTCATGTTGAAATCGCCTCCAGTGCATTTGCTGCTGGCGGCAATAAAAGTTGTTGAAAAGTCAAAAGTCTTCTTGGTTTTTTCGGTAAAGTCACGTAGAAGGGAAATAATAAAATAATAAAAAATTAAAACATAATAAAATAATTCTCACGACGTTTCGGCCACAACGCAAGCAGCCGTCCTCAGGTGGAGAACAGGTCTTTCGGAAAGACAGCGTCCGAATGAACACCGCCATATACGCTGCCAAGCTTGGCGGTGTTCATTCAGACGCTGTCTTTCCGATAGACCTGTTCTTCACCTGAGGACGGCTGCTTGCGTTGTGGCCGAAACGTCGTGAGAATTATTTTAATGTTTTATTTTTATTATTTTATTATTTCCATTCTACGTGACTTTACCGACAGAACCAAGGAGATGAATCCCTGCAGTCACGAAAGCTTTAAATCGAAAGTCAAAAGTCTGTTTCTCCCGGAGCCGTTAGTTTGTCTTTAAATGACTGGTGTCGTCCCGTGACGAGTTAGTATGAAAATTACAATTGGTGACTGAAATGAAAAACATTGGGTTTAAATTGTAAGACAATTTGACGGTCATCTACACGGAAAGTTTTCCTCGCGATTTCAATTGTTGTTGTTGAATCGGCACTTTTGGTGTAGTTGGTTGGAAATGTTCGTTGCGTCTTGGCAAGGTGGCAACTTAGTAAAGTTGTCTGTTGGCAAACAAAAAGAGCAGGTTCGTTGAGATCAAAGGCAATGTACTCGAAAGGCGTTTGTGCTTGTGACTTATTGACAGCGATAGCAAATGCAGGAATGAGAGAACTGGAAAGATTACTTATTACCCTGGTCAACAACAAAAAAACATTTTTTTCTGGCCTGGACTTTTGCAGCTGTTCTAGACTAATTTCAGGGTGCTGATTCCAAATCTGATCTCAGATTTGCTCTATCACATCTCATTTTTAAATCCTTTATATTAAGTTCACTTGCTTGCGCGCTTACGACCGTGGAAATCTTTCGGTCGTTTTTTAACCCACTTCCCGTGATCCAATCGAGCTGACATTTTGCACACAGACTCGTTGTGCGTGACAATTTATTTTCGTGAAAAAAAATTCAAAAATTTTCCACTTTTTAGGAAATAAAAAAATTCATATTTAATTTAAAATACTAATGTGATAAAAATGAAACTCTTACTCAAGAAAAACAGAAATGAATAATAAAATAAAACCGATGCCACGCATATAAAGGATTTATAGTGAAAAACTTTGTTTTTTACGGGTTAATTTTTATGCTATCGGCATACCCCATTTTCATTGATTTTACCCGAATTAACTCTGTCACTTATGATTGCAAGTTTTTGCCAGTCAGTGACTGCTTTAGTGTTAAAATATGGTGCTGTATTTTTAGGATAGTGTGTTTATAATATTTTATGTAGATATACACATTTATTTAATATTTTTCTACCGCAGTTTTTATTGAAAATGCAATATTTGATATCTCAAAAACCTGATGTGATAGACAAAAACTGATGCCAGATTTGAAAACCGTTGGAATACCTTATGCCAGAAACAGTGTGTTGACCAGTGTTATTATTCTTTGACTGTGTAAAACGCGCTAGTGTATATTTTTTGTGGAAACTCGATTATCCTTAGTAATAACAAACTAACAATTAGTTACAATTTTAGTAATAAATATATATTTAAAATTGCATGAAAATCTACGCAGCGTTATGCACCATGGTACAGAGCATCAGGCGTTGGGCACAGATCACCAAAACTACATAGATAATTGCAAAAGAGGTCACAGACTTCTCTTGCACTGGTACACAGCCAAAGTATCCCCGTCTCATATACCAATGCTGGGCCGAGATAGCATTGGGGTGGATTCATTCAGATTCTTGTAGACATAGCTTGTAAGCTATGCTATGTGTGATAGGTAGCCAGTGTAACCCATTTCGTATCACTGCTGGGCCGAGATACAATTGGGGTGGAATTGATTCATGCTCATGTGGATGAGTTTAACACGTAGTAGTAGGGCTTTCATGACCAATATTATCCATAAGTTGTTGTTTTATTAGATCTGGTAAATATAAATGTGTATTGTTGAACCCGCCACCACCTGACACAGCCAATTTTTAAAGGATTGTCATGAGAACAAAACGTGTGACCAATTCGTTACTAGTACAGCACTAACCGGCTATGTATTGGAGAGTAAACCCACTACAATATTTTCAAATCGAGTACTTGTGGAATGGGTAGACGTAGTTTGTAAGGGATGCTACGTTTGATGGGTAGCCAATGTAACCCATCTCGTATTGATGTCGTGATCGGACTAATCTACCTACTCTACAGTAGTATCTACCTACTCTGTAGTCGTATATACCGACCCGATATAAGTATCTATCGATGCTATAGCAATCTTAATTTTAGAACTTTCGTGACTGCAGGAATTATTATTTGGTTCTTTCGGTTAAGTCACGTCTAAATATAAAATAATAAATTAAATTAAATAATAGCATACGACGTTTCGATTGCAACACAAGCAATCATCATCAGGTATAATGAAATAGCGACATAAAATCTAACCAGAAAACTATAGACAGACATATTAGCAGACAGATATCACCAAGATACACAGAGAGAGCAACACAGGTAACAAGAGAGGGGTGATCATCTCTGTGGGGTGGCCTTAAATAGAGTGCCGTGGTGAGGCCTAGTCCTGTGCAGAGCCCCTGGCCTCGCCTAGATTGGCCAGCCGGCCGAGGTGGCGCTTTGGCCGGTTGGGGCTGGGCCGCTATACCCCCCCCCCCGCCCCACTATCCCCCCTCACGCACTACGGTAGTATTTACGGACTAGAGGATTATTTACAGACCCTCTCGTAGTAAGTACACACATTAGCATAGGGGGGGAGCAGAGGACATCACACTATGAAGAATTTACCTCAGCGTTGTGTGTATTTTTCAGTTTCTACTTCTGCAGAGTCAGTAGATACGACTATAGAGTTAGTAGTTACTACTATAGTCGGTTCATACTACTTTAGAGTCGGTAGATATTGCTGTAGAGTCAGTCGATACGACTACTACGGTTAGTAGATACTATTGCAGTCAGCAGATACTCCTGAAAAGTCAGCAGTTACTACTATAGAGTAATTTGATATTACTATAGCGTCAATAGATACTACTATAGAGTCAGTAGACACTACTGTAGAGCCAGATACAACTGTAGAGCCAGTTAATACTACAGAGTCACTAGATACTACTCTATTGTATGTAGGGTGTTTATCCCCCACTTTCTATTACTTTTTGATTCAGGACTTCTGCCAGCCTCTTATAATTTTGTTGATCGACAAAGGGACAGACAAACAGAACGCCGGGCTTTCACAATAGCTTAGTATTTGTGTAAGTGTATGTTATGTTTTTTAGAGAAGGACAAGTTTTGAAATATATTTCCCCCCGGGCAACTGCCGGGTTCTTCCCGCTAGTATGTTATAAAGGGGCCCTGAATAAAACACACACATTTTTTATTTCGATTAAAAGCTTCTTTCGTGACTGCAGGGATCCATCTTCTTGGTTCTTTCGGTAAAGTCACCACGTAGAAGGGAAGCAATAAAATAATAAAAATAAACATATAAATAAAATAATTCTCACGACGTTTCGGCCACAACGCAAGCAGCCGTCCTCAAGTGAAGACGGCTGCTTGCGTTGCGGCCGAAACGTCGTGAGAATTATTTTATTTTATTACGTTTTATTTTTATTATTTTATTGCTTCCCTTCTACGTGACTTTACCGAAAGAACCAAGAAGACACATTTTTTACTTGTGTAATAAAAGGACTCGAACACTTCTCTCTGTCTTCGTGTCTTTATTCAGGTTCACGTCTTTACCCACACGGCACTCTGTTATAACTCCTGTATTTGTAGCCCCCGGCTATTCACTGCTATTATAGCTTCCTCTCCCCTCTGACTCTCTGCTTCATCTACTGTAACCTCCTCCCTGCAGACTCGCTGCTACCCCTATGCAGACTCCCGCTGCTACCCCTATGTGCAGACCCTCTGGCTGTCACTGTATGCAGACCCGCTGCCCACCCTCTCTGTGCAGCCCCGCTGCTGACTGCAGCCTCCTCGCTGCTTCGGGTCGGTCACCGCTGGCCAACGGTGCCGATCCTCGCTCCCCCCGTGTTCGTGGCGATCTCGCCACACCCCGCTTCGCCCTTCGTGGCCTTCCTCTGTTCCTGGTTCCCCGTCACTCCCCTTGCTCTTCCGGTTCCCCTCCTTCTATACTCAACCCCTCTGCCCCCCACGTGACCTAACTCCTCCCCCCCTGACGGCGCCTCAGAAGGGCCGTTTACAACCGCATTACACTTGCATAGTAAAGTAATTGTATTTTTTCATTTGCTATACAACCAGATATTGCAACAAATCGCTAACCCTAAACACCCAGTCGTTCGTTAAAGTTGAAGGCGGTATATTTCTATAGTGATAGAGCAAGTGCAGAATCACTGAACCGAAATTGATAGCTTTAAAACATTTAGTACGAGGGCCTTGAAAGTGCAGGGCCTGTAGCATATTATACTTTTGCTATTAGGATCATCCGGCACTGGCGTGGTCACGTAGATTTTTTCTCTGGGTCCTCCGTTGTTTTCCTTTCACATTTAGAAACATGCGCTTAAGAGTATTTGGCTGCTATGTATTTCCACGCAATAAGCCACTTCCTTGAGCTATCATTTGTGATATTCGGGTCGCTTCCGAAAAAGAGCTACATATGTCAGTGGGTCTTACCTGGTAAAATACATTTTTTAAATCCTAAAATAAAAATTGGCCTTCGTTTGAGTTTTACCATGTCAGATAATCGCCACCTTTGCCGGGAGTCTAACTTGTCCATCCATGTTTCCGCAGGTGAAGGTGGAGAGGCCTGATGGCAGTCCGGTCCCACACAAACTCGTCAGCCTGATCGTGAAGCAAGGCAACGCCGCTCCTCCCGGAAGCCAGCACCACACCGGGGCAGATGGAACGTTCACTTTCACCATAGACACGGGCGACTTCAATAGGTCCGACACGATCTTCCTGGAGGTGAATCATGGGCCCACGGTGTTTCCATCCTGCTGCTGACCTGCAGAGGCACTCAATGCTATTAGCTCCCGCAATGTTCACAGGGAACCGAGCCGTGTTTACTCTCCCACGAGGTCCCCCTGATATCTTCAGATCGACGTCCTCTAAGAACTCCGGGAGGTCAAGGCTCTGTTCCTGGGGTGATGGGGCTATTGCCACTGTGCAGCTCCCAGGCATTGTAACCTGAAGGCTTGTGTTTCACTGAGGCCTAGGTTACATGAAAGCCTTAGTTACATAAGGCCTGGGTTTAATCAATGCCTGGGTTACATGAAGGCCTTAATTGCATAAGGCCTGGGTTTCATTAACTAGTGGATTACATGAAAGCCTTAGTTACATGAAGGCCTTAGTTACGTAAGGTCTGGGTTTCATTAATGCCTGGGTTACATGAAAGTATTAGATACATGCAGGCCTTAGATACATGCAGGCCTTAGATACATGCAGGCCTTAGATACATGCAGGCCTTAAATTACGTAAGGCCTGGGTTTAATTAACACCAGGGTAACATAAATTCCTGGCTTACATGAAGACCTTGGTTACATAAGGCCTGAGTTGAATTAAGGCCTGGGTTACATGAAAGCCTTAGTTACATAAGAACTGGGTTTAATTAATGCCTGGGTTACATTAAGGCCTGAGTTACATAAGGCCTGAGGTTAATTAGGGCATGGGTCAAATGAAAGCCTTAGGTACATAAGGCCTTAGTTTTTATTAAAGCCTGAGTTACATGAAGGCCCTAGTTACATAAGAACTAGGTTTCGTTAATACCTGGGTTACATGAAGGCCTCAGTTACATAACCCTTAGTTACATGAAGGCATTAATGATATATTCCGTGGAATTTTCCCAATTTGTGTTGTATTGCTTTAAGAGACACATCCGTATGTGTCACCGCCATCCCACCAACCCCACCCCACCACCATGAACTCCGCAGGCCACAGACCCCGAGTTCAACTCGACCGCCCATCCGAGTGTGACCTACCAGCAGGGTTACAGCACCATCAGCGCGTTCTTCTCGCCCAGCGACAGCTTCCTCCAGCTGGACCGCGTCGCTCACACGCTCGAGTGCGGCTCCTCCGTCTCTCTGCGCCTGCTTCTGGTGCTGAAAGAGAACAGGAGCAGCGCCGGTGACGGCCACGCGGGAGGAGTTGTGCGGCCCGTTATCAATGTTCTGGTGAGCGCCGTCGCTTCCGTCTCTCTGCCTGCGAATCTCATTTTTCACCGTCGTTATGGCGGAGGTCACTCGCGCGTACTAACCCACTCACCCACCCACACAGCGACTCAACCCTCTCACCAACCCACTTACTCAAACACACAGCGACTCACTCACTAACCCACTCACTCACTCACCCACACAGTAGCTCGCTTACTAACCCACTCACTCACCCACACAGTAGCTCGCTTACTAACCAACTCACTCACCCACACAGTAGCTCACTTACTAACCCACTCACCCACCCACACAGCGACCCAACCCACTCACCAACCCACTTACTCACCCACACAGCGACTCACTCACTAACCCACTCATTCAACCACACAGCGACTTAACTCACTAACCCACTCACTCACCCACACAGCGACTCACTCACTCACCCATGGACTCACTGACACGTGACCAATGGACGAGAATTTTCAAGACAGGTAGCTTTGTTATCAGGGGGCCAATTTGGACAAACGTTGAGCGGCACGCCACGGCCTTGTCATTTCGAATCACGTCCGGTGGGGATCTTTAACATCCGCCATGAACCGCGGGCCGCGTGGTATTCAACGGTCAATGCACCCACCACTGTCAAAATTAGGACGGCCACTGGATTCTTATGTCATCTTTAACTTGATGTCCTTCCACCACCGCCGCCTCGCACCTTCGATGAGCACGGTTGGCTACGTACAGTGCAAAAGATGTCTTCTTCTTGGTTCTTTCGGTAAAGTCACGTAGAAGGGAAATAATAAAATAATAAAAATAAAACATAATAAAATAATTCTCACGACGTTTCGGCCACAACGCAAGCGGCCGTCCTCAGGTGAAGAACAGGTCTGTCGGAAAGACAGCGTCCGAATGAACACCGCCATATACGCTGTCAAGCTTGGTGGTGTTTCATTCAGACGCTGTCTTTCCGACAGACCTGTTCTTCACCTGAGGACGGCTGCTTGCGTTGTGGCCGAAACGTCGTGAGAATTATTTTATTATGTTTTATTTTTTTTATTTTATTATTTCCCTTCTACGTGACTTTATCTAAAGAACCAAGAAGATGAATCCCTGCAGTCACGAAAGCTTTAAGTCGAAAGGTGCAAAAGATGCTCAACATACATACTCACCATACATACTCACATAGCATGGTTGCTTATGTACGGTGCGAAATAAGTTCTACACTCACACAGCACGGTTGGCTACGTACGGTGCAAAGGAAGTTCAACATACATATGTAATGATGCCTTGACACACTCCTCTTGAGATTGCACTTTATTGAAGATGCGTTCACTTAACATCAGGCGGAGATCCCACTGCAACGGCCCCTAGTCTCCCTTATAGATCAACATGAGGCAACACCCCCCTTCTCGATCATTCTTGCCGACTCTGGACGCTCTCTCTATCGGCAGACTCTACCGTCTGCTTCCATCACCTGACCACGCTCCCTCCTCGAACATTCCGGTAGCCACCGGTTCCTTCACACTCACAACTGATACCCCTGTCATTACCTCCCGTTGCCACCAGTCCATTCGCACTGCAGGCTGACTCCCCTGTCATTACCTCCCGTTGCCACCAGTCCATTCATACCGCAGGCTGACTCCCCTGTCATTACCTCCTGTGGCCACTAGTCCATTCGTACTGCAGTTGACTCTCCTGCCATTACCTCCCATGGCCACTAGTCCCCTCACACCACATTCAGGCACTATTGTCATTACACATGCATGGCACGGTTGGCTACGTACGGTGCAAAAGAAGTTCAACATACACACACAGCATTTATGTAAGATTTACATGAAGCGCCGAAATACAGGTGTGCTTTGAAAACCCATCTCTTTAAAATAAATAAATAGTTAAAATAGTAGTACAGTAGTATGCATTGAGGTGATATTGTTGGCATTGTTGTTTTTCTTGTTGTTCAGGTCATGTCAAGAGGAAATATCCTGCACACGGAGTCCTTCACCATGGACAACGTGTACCTGGGTACGATAATTATTGACACCACCTGCATTCTGATACACTGTGGATTACACAGGGAGGTGGCAAGGGTTAACAATGGCCATGTATGTGTATCTGTGTAAGGCTGTGTGTGTCTATATGTCTGTGTATTCCAAACTGGAGCTAGACATATGCGCATTGCGCAGGTACAAAAAATTCTCCACTTTCTTTCTCTCTCCACAACTCATGGGCGAGTTGAGGGGATTGAGTATTTTGATGGCGTAAAATACCCAGGCAGGTGCTTTGGTTTGATGGGGCTGATGGTGAATCCCAACCCTGTTAGTGAACCTGCCAGGGAGCATTCGACACTTCACGCAATAGCCTTGACGCGCATAGCGGTTGTTGTTGTTGGTGCGTGTGTACGTGCGTGTTTGTGTGTGTGTGTACGTGCATGCTTGTGTGCGCATACAGGCAAAGCGCATTCCCATCACTTTCAGCTCAAGGTTAAACACAGCTTCGCACCGACGGCCCGACTCCTCGCATGGATGGTCTTCAACAACGAGACGGTGGCTGACACGCTTGCCCTGCCCGTGCACAAGTGCTTCCCCAACAAGGTACGCCACAATGGCGGCCACGGTGGCGAGGAGATGTTGACCACCTCGCCTGGTATGCAGGAGGTCATGGGTTCGATCCCGACCCCGACGATGCCTGCTGCTGTATGCTGGGAGTCCGCGTGTCTCTCTCGCATCATTAACATGGTGGCTAGCAGATGTTGACCACCTCGCCTGGTATGCAGGAGGTTGTGGGTCACATGGCATTACCTCCCATGGCATAATTAAGGCCTTAAACCCAGGCCTTCGTTACATGAAGGCCTGGGTTTAATTAAGGGCTGGGTTACATGAAGGCCTTAATTATATAAGGCCTGGGTTACATGTAGGCTTTAATTACATACGGCCTGGGTTTATTAAAGCCTGGGTTACATGAAGACATTAGTTACACGAAGGCCTTAATCACATAAGGCCTGGGTTTCATTAAGGTCTGAGTTACATCAAGGCCTTAGTTACATGAAAGCCTTAGTTACATAAGGCCCGGGTTGCATGAAGGTCTGGTTTTCATTAAGGACTGGGTTAAATAAAGGCCTGAGTTACATGACGCCTGGGGTATATGTAGGGTTTGTGTCTCTCTCACCGTGGTCGCGTGAATTTTTCTACGGGCTCCTCCGTTTTTTTCCCCCTCCACATTCAAAAAGTAACGTCATGCGTTTAGAAGCAGCTGCCGTAACATTTGCACTTGGTGACAATAAGCCGCCAACTTCGCTGAAGCTATCATTTGTGATAGCTTCAACCGTCGCTTCTGAAAAAAAGGCTCAATGGCAGCTCAGTAGTTGGAGACCTCCACCCGGTAGACAGAGTCGACCCGGTTTCCGACGTGACTTTAGCTCGTGCTAGTCTGCTCAGAGTGACTCTTGAGTGGACGATGTTTAGCGCTTCATAACCCGAGCTCGGCACGGCCGATGAAAGGTCGGCACAACGCATCGGGCACAAGTGACGTTTCTACTCTAGCCTGTGGGGAGATTCCAGGAACGCTTTGCGATGTCGTGAAACTCAACAGTTTCTATTTAGCCAGGTATGAAGCCCCACTGCATCTATGTATAACATACCTGTCAACCCAAACGGTTCACCCCGTATTCTTGTACAGGGAATTGAGTTTTCAGGTCTATATGGCGTAAAGCCGTTTCAATACGGGCACTATATTTTATAATTGTTTTTTTACCCTTTTATCTGGCAACAAAACTGACACCTTTTTACAAGGAGTCATGTTTGCATAGACCGCAAAACCTGCAGTCATAATACAAACAAAAGACATAACTCTGATAATGTGCACTGTCCTTGAAGTTGATTGGTCCACACCCGAGACAGCTTTCCTTAGAGCCTAGTCTCACATGGGTTGGACCAGATGACGCTGGCAAATGAGGTTCCCAAAGTGTAGACACTATATTTTAGTTTGTCTGCTTATGTTCGTCCCTTGGGATGGGACTTTGTAGGCTAAACGTTGATATTTATACGGGCACAGGGTGATCAATAATGTCTGAATTGGTCTTTAACAAGGTAGGGCACTGATCAGGGGTTGGCAGGTATGTAGTAGTGTAGTGTATAGTAGTGTAGAGTGTATTGTGTATGGTAGTCTGAATTGGTGCCGTGCCGGCCTTCATCAGTGCTCGCGAACAGCACTTGCCCCTACAGTCTGTTAAGGCTATACGGGGGGGGAGATCTTTGTCTTTGTGTGTGTGCGCGCATGTGCATGCATGTGCGTGCGTGTGCGTGTGCATGCGTGCGTGTGTGCGTGTGCGTGCGTGTGTGTGTGCGCGTGCGCAGGTGTCTGTGGGATTTGAGCACGAGCAGGAACTTCCGGGAGCCATGTCCACTCTGTCGATCCGTGCGTCTCCCGGTTCTCTGTGCGCGCTGCGCGTCGTCGACAAGAGCGTCCTCCTCCTCAAGCCCGAAGCTCAGCTGTCGGCCGAGTCGGTAAGGGGGGCAACACTAACAACCATAATAATAACAACAATAACAACAACAATAGCAACAATAACAACAATAATTATAAAACAACAACAAAAACTAAAATTATAATAACAACAACAATAACAATAATTATAAAATAACAATAATAACAACAATAACAGCAATAATAACAACAACAATAACAACAACAAGAACGACAATAAAATAAGCAACAATAACAGCACTAATTAAGCAATAGTAATGTAAATTTCGATTTAAAGCTTTCGTGACTGCAGGGATTCATCTTCTTGGTTCTTTCGGTAAAGTCACGTAGAAGGGAAATAATAAAATAATAAAAAACAATATTAATAATAAATATTAATAAATAATATCTAATACTAATAAAATAAGAATAATGTTTTTTTATGTTTTATTTATTTTATTTTATTATTTCCCTTCTACGTGACTTTACCGAAAGAACCAAGAAGATGAATAGTAATGTAGTGAGTCCAACTGAGCCACAGAACTCTCAGCACAACACACTCCAGGCCATTAACACAACAAACTCTCGTGGTGGTGACCGCCCAACTAACCACGCTACGGCGGAACTAGACACGTTTCCACTATCCCGGTCCGGACCACAAGCTGGGTCCCGGACCCCGTGGCTGGAGGCTTCTTCAAGCTTGACGTGGATCTCCTGCCTCTCCAACAGTAATAACCCCGAGCCTCTCACTGGGCCCCCCTTATATTGGGCCATGCTAGGAGTTGGCTCCGCCTCTCGCCCCACCCACCTTCTCGATCTCTCACCCCCTTGCCCGAAGGCTCTTGAGAGTTCTTCTCGGACCATGTGACCACCCGTTGGCCCCCTCTACCGGTGGCCCCCCTCCAGTGTCATCCGGTCACGTGTCCCCAGGTCAGCCAGAGTATCATCTCCCCAACGTAACCCCTGCTGGCTGACACTCTCTCGCTTTCTCAACGGGGGCCCGCACCGCACGCTGTGCGTGGTGCCACCGCGCTGAACCAGCGCTCACCCAAGCCCCCACTAGGGCTGGTACTACACCCGTGTCCGGGGTGTACACACAACAGTCCACATCACGCCATGGCCTCGCAAGCCCGGTACCACACGGTGACATTCCCAGTCACTACATCACCCCCCCCCCCTCCATAACACTCAGTCGTCCCAGCTGTCAAATTCCCCTTAATGAAGCAACACCGAAATATCTATACAACATAACGCACGTGTGCTCCATATAACTGTAGTGGGTTCGAATTAGGTGCACACACACACAGCTTGGAGGCAACACTATTTATTAACGGTAAGTAATATAACACTATACATGAGGTGGTGACCACCTTCCTCAACTCACTAACACTCTGGAACACGACACAGACTGGACCAGGCAGGCTGCGGACTGCCTGGTCCAGGACGACGACCCGGGACTTGAGGACCGATGATGTCGTCTTCACTTCGGAGTTCAACAGCCCCGCTCTGCATCCACACCCCGCTTATATCCGCTCCGGCGTGGCCGGCTCCACCCCCTTCCCAGGCCACGCCTCCCTGCCCAGGCCACGCCTCCCTTCTTCCACCTCACGGGAAGGTCTGGGTCCCTCCACCACGTGACCCCCCAGGCACCCCCTTGGGGCCCCCAGCCCTCGTACGGGCCGACACAGTAGTGACGTCCTACGTCACTACATACCCAATACATACCCTAACCCACCTGTACAATTATACACTGGCGAACAATTAAAATAATGCACAGCAACAACAATAACAATCGCGACATGCAGGGCCCCCGCAATCAACATCTCCCACCCACGACGTGTAACAACGCTCGTGAGCCCAATGGCGAGCAGGATCCGCCAATTACTCGCCATGACTCACGCGAGCGCGACAAATCACAGACGGCATGGGAGTGTGCAACGTGCGGGGATTATGCAACCCGAGTCTTTGAGCGAGTCCGCGACGCCGGGCCTCCAGGAGGGTTGGGCTCTTCCGCCCTGGACGACCCGGGGGAAATGAGCAATCGATCGGACGAAGCCGGCTCCTCACGAAGAGCAGTAGGCCGGACCATCCGAAAATCCACAGCCGGCGCACGTGAGGCCGACACGAGCCACCGCGTGCAAGGCATCAATTGCGCAGCGCCTGTGGACGGGACAGAAACACTCTCCTGAGGTCCGGCGTCAGCAGACGCACGCCCCAGCCCGTTGGGCACACCCGACACTCGGCCCCTGCGATATGGAGATGAAACAAATTCACATGGCGCAATAAACGGCTTCAGACGAGAGGGGTGAACAAACCAACACCTAAATTTCGATTTAAAGCTTTCGTGACTGCAGGGATTCATCTTCTTGGTTCTTTCGGTAAAGTCACGTAGAAGGGAAGTAATAAAATAATAAAAATAAAACATAATAAAACAATTCTCACGACGTTTCGGCCACAACGCAAGCAGCCGTCCTCAGGTGAAAACCAGGTCCGTCGAGGCGACAGAGTCTGAATGAAACAGCACACGGGCTTGGAGCATATATATAAGCTGGGCGCATTGACAAAGGAATTTGCATATCAACAGGAATTTAGCATATTTATGGGAAATGCAGGAATGTGATTAGTACTGCATATGCATGTGCATTATGCAGGATTAACAGCATCAAAGGGAGCTGCAGTTACTGCTGCTGCAGTAGTTGCTGCTGCTGCTGCAGTTTCTGCTGCTGCTGCAGTTGCTGCTGCTGCTGCAGTTTCTGCTGCTGCTGCAGTTGCTGCTGCTGCTGCAGTTTCTGCTGCTGCTGCAGTTGCTGCTGTTACCAACACATTGTGGACGCACAACCCGAACAACATCTACCGGCACCCTCCAGGGTTGCGACAATTTAGGGGATCTGCCCATGGGGACCTGTGGACCAATCGCAGAGGGAAATACGAGCCCTCTTCGGGCTCTAAGAAACGCTGTCTCGGGTGTGGACCAATCAACTACAAGGACAGTGCATATCATTATCATCATCAGAGTTGTTTATTTTCGTTTGCATTTTGACTGCTTGTGTTGTGGTTATTGCAAACATGATGCCTTGTATAAAGGTGTCAGTTTTGTACCATTTGAAAGGGTGAATCCCTATTACTAAAAACCTATTTTCCCGTGGGTCTGTGTCGAGGAGGCGCTTTACCCCCTGGCTCTGTCAGGAGAAGGCGGTTGTACAGCAGCAGAGTGTGCGGACTAATCTCTATCTGTTCAATCTCACTCCCACGCGAATCGTAGACACGATGTCAATAAATTGGCTGTAAACATCTTACAAATATACAAACACAGACATAATTTCAACCGTGATGATGGGTACAAACTTAGTAATCATTGGAAAGATGTTATTAACCACGCAAAAAAGACTTGATTACACTTTTTTGAACCATCTTATCTGACAGGCACTAGTCTACTTTACTTTATCGAGTGTTAACATCCCCAGTGTTTAACAGTAATCTCTTCATTGTTTAGCCAGCATTGGTATAAACATACGCATTTTATTTTCTTTTCTATCATGTGTATCAGACCTCCCCCCTCCCCCCTCTCTGCCCAATGCGTTGGCGTGGGCAGCAGTGTGTCGCTTGCGCACAATAGCTTCCACGCCGTCGCCCACCCCCCTTTTTTGGCCCCTCTCTCCCGATACTTTCCATTCATTGGCTACCACATTCTGATGAGCCCCCCCCTCTCCTCCCCCCCTCAACTCGCTTTTAAGGGATTACATCTTGAATCATTGCCTCACTTGATGCAGCTGATCTGGCTGTGACTGTCCCACCTGATGACGGAGACTTGTGTTGCCTCCGAAACGTCGTGATCTTTATTTTTTATTTTATTATTTTTATTAATTTTGATGTTTTACCTACGTGACTTTACCGAAAACACCTAAGAATATCTTATGGGAACAAAACAAAAAAAGAAAGTCAACTCTGTCTTCTCGCCGTATCTCTGTCTGCTCTCGCGGCGATTTTTCCCGACAGATTTTCCAAAGGCTTCAGGTGCAGGACCTCACTTACTACGACTACGGAATCGAGCGGTGGGACTGCAGCCCGGAACACTATCGACGGCGCAAACGATCGTACGGTGTATGGATGGATGATTTCCAAAATAGCGTGCATCGGCTGTTCAAGGTGTGTGCTCCACAACGCCCACAACACCACCACCAACAAGAACAATACTACAGCGTGACCACCAGTAACATCATAACCACCACCAACATCAGAATCACCATTAATCATCATCACCACCACCATTATCATCATCTCCACCACCACCACTATCATGATCTCGAAAACTACCACCATCTCCATCACCACCACTATCTTCATCTCTACCACCACCACAATCCTTATCTCCACCACCAGCGCCGATTCCTGAGTGTACCAGGAGCAGGTGGTACTGCAAAGTGTGTGTGTTGTGTCACTGTGTGTGTGTCACTGTGTGTTTGTCACTGTGTGTGTGTCACTGGGTGTGTGTGTGTCACTGTGTGTGTCTGACTGTATTGTAATGGTTAGCGCACTGCACTATGAACCCAGCAACTCGGGTTCGATTCCCACTCATGGTCAACACCAGTGACGATTATCTGAACCGTTCCTGGGCCTCCCCTAAGTCGACTCAGCCTCAAATGAGTACTTTGTGTGGCGTGTAAACATCGCCACTGGGGAAACAAAGGCGGTCAGGCGTGGTGCTGGTCACTCACCCCCTCGTGTACCGTTCCGGCCTTCATAGGTGCTCGCTAACAGCACTTGCCCCTACAGACTGTTAAGGCTATACGGGGGATTTTTACTTTTTGTGTCTGGCTGAGGTGCCATCTGTTGAGGAAGTACTAAAGGCGACCCAGAGTCTGGGACCAGGAAAAGCATCGGACAGAGATGATCTCCCAAGCGAATTGCTAAAGGAGGATGGCGTTTGTGCACAGACTGCCCTACATGACATCATAACAACAGTCTGGACCACTGGACGGGTTCTGCAGGATTGGAAGGATGCCCTGGTGGTCCCCCTCTTTAAGAAAGGGGACCCCACAGACTGTAACAACTACAGGGACATCTCACTCCTCAGTGTACCCAGAACGGTCCTGGCAAGAATTATCCAACATCGCCTTGCCAGGCACGCTGAGGAGAGGCTTGTGGAGCCCCAATGCGGTTCCAGGTAAGGGCGGTCCTGCACAGATGCCATATTTTCTGTCCATTTGCTACAGCAGAGGTGTAGGAAATTCCAACAAGACCTACATGCTTTATTGACCTGGTCAAGGCCTATGATACCATCAGTAGGCCTGAGATCTGGTTTGTTCTTCGTGCTTTCAAAGTCCCTGATCTTCTGCTCACAATCATTAAGGACTTCGTGATGGTGAAGCAGGCACGGGTAAAACTACGTGGCCGGGAGTTGGAGCCATTCCCTCTTCACCTTGGGGTGCGACAGGGATGTCCTCTGGCTCCCACATTATTTAACATCTATTTTGACAACGTAGTTCGTGAAGCGTTCGATGGCTGTACCGGAGGAATTTCCATCTGGTACAGATACAATGGGAGGCTGATCGATGCCTGAGTGCAATCAAGGGATGGCTCCCTATTGGTCAACCATTGTATGAATGCTGATGACCTGGTAATTGTTGCTGACTCAGAGGAGGATTTAGAGGCACAGCTGCTGAACCTGGAGCGTGCCACTAAAAAGTGAGGCCTTACCATTAGCCCCACCAAAACTAAGCTCCTGCCTTGGTATTTTGTACCATCGGACACTCCACACCCACAACTCCCAATTGGTAATGGGGCAGTTGTGGAGAAAGTGCAGAGTTTCCCATACCTGGGAAGTGTGCTCATGACCGGCTCACTCCGAATCAGTCGAGTGGCATTATCCTTTCACCGGCTGCCGAACGCTGTGTGGAAGCTAACGGGTCCGTCGCTCCACACGAAGCGTCAGGTCTTCTCGGCCACAGTCATCCCCTCCCTTATCTACGCTTGTGAAACGTGGACCCCCCTAACGGGACATCTTTGCTGGTTAGAAACATTTAGGAGCTCACAAATCCTTGAAAGATCTGGACAAAGTCCCTTCAGCGAACTCCTCAGGCAGGCAAGGTTGCATTGGCTGGGTCATGTAGCCCGCATGCCCAGCCACCGCATGCCTAAACAGCTTTTGTTCAGCTGGAGAGGGCTAAATGGGCACGGCATTTACTAGAGAGGAAATGGTGTAATGTGGTATAAGTGGATGTAGAGCTGTGTGGACTTGCCGATGACTAGTATAAGCAGTGTCAAGATCGGCCTCAGTGGAGGAGGCTCGTGAAGGCCGCTACTGGGCAGGTGGAGGCAGTCACCCTCCAGCAACCACGGAGAGCAGTGGAGCGATGCTCACAACAACCGAACGGAGCGCCGGGTGGCTAGAGTACAGCAACTTGGCACAGTAGGGGGCACAGGTGGTGCATCGGCCAGTCATCTCAGTCAGTCGACTGATAATATTAATGATTATAATTACCATCACCACCTTTATTTTCTTCAACGCACAGGGCATGGGCCTGGTGGTTCTGACCGACACAACCGTGAAGAGGTCGGTGGATTGCCATCAGCTGATGCACCATCGACATCGCATCGCCTATTCCATGGAAACTGTCGCAAGCCCAGGTCTGAGGTTCAGTGATCGTGGAAATATTAGTCCCGTGGGGCAAGGTACCAATCTCAGATGTGCATCACTGCCACCACCACTATCAATGTCTCTAACACCACTATCTCCACCACCACTATAACCACCACCACTATAACTGTCTCCACCACCACCACTATCACCGCTATCACAACTATCACCACCATTATCACCACTATCACCATCACCACTACCACCACGACCACTAATCTCCGCCACCACCATGTTGTATTTATTGTTATTAAAATACATATTAAGTAAGAAATATGATTTTAAAAAATGCTAAAATAATAATAAAAAATGTGAAGATTACAACCAAAAATATGTTCATATATGTAAATAAGTGCGATTAACAACAAATGTGTGTTAAGTGTAATTAATTGCACGTGTCTTAACAAAAAAATTACGTGTGTGTGTATGTGATTATGTGTGTGTGATTATGTGTGTTATGTGTTGTGGCCGAAACGTCGTGAGAATTATTTTATTATGTTTTATTTTTATTATTTTATTACTTCCCTTCTACGTGATGACTTTACCGAAAGAACCAAGAAGATGAATCCCTGCAGTCACGAAAGCTTTTAATCGAAACTTATGTCACTTGTGTTAAACTGCACAGGCGGAGCGATGTTCAAGACTGTGAAGGAGACCGTTAGAGAATATTTCCCGGAAACGTGGATCTGGGATCTCTACCCAGTCAGGTGAGACCAGGATCACCACCACCACCACCATCATCGCCAACACCACCACCACCACCATCGCCGCCACCATCACCACCACCAACCACCATCTCCAACACCACCACCACCATCATCGCCAACACCACCACCACCATCGCCGCCACCATCACAACCACCAACCACCATCTCCAACACCACCACCACCACCATCGCCGCCGCCACCGCCACCACCGCCACCAACATCGCCGCCACCACCGCCACCACCACTAACCACCATCGCCAACACCACCACCACCACCACCATCGCCGCCACCACCACCACCATCAACCACCATCGCCACCAATGACACCACCATCACCACCAATGCCACCTCCACCAACCACCATCAACACCAATGCCACTTCCACCAACCACCATCGCCAACACCACCACCACCATCGCCGCCACCACCACCGCCACCACCACCAACCACCATCGCCAACACCACCACCACCATCGCCGCCGCCACCGCCGCCACCGCCACCAACACCAACCACCATCGCCAACACCACCACCATCGCCGCCACCATCACCACCATCAACCACCATTGCCACCAATGACGCCACCAATGACACCACCATCACCACCAACGCCACCTCCACCAACCACCATCGCCACCACCACCACCGCCACCATCTCCACCAATGACACCACCATTGCCACCAATGACACCACCATCACCACCAACGCCACCTCCACCAACCACCATCGCCACCACCACCACCGCCACCATCTCCACCAATGACACCACCATTGCCACCAATGACACCACCATCACCACCAATGCCACCTCCACCAACCACCATCAACACCAATGCCACCTCCACCAACCACCATCGCCGCCACCACCACCGCCACCACCACCAACCACCATCGCCAACACCACCACCACCATTGCCGCCGCCACCGCCGCCACCGCCACCAACACCAACCACCATCGCCAACACCACCACCATCGCCGCCACCATCACCACCATCAACCACCATTGCCACCAATGACGCCACCAATGACACCACCATCACCACCATCGCCACCTCCACCACCACATCCGCCATCACCACCAACGCCACCATCTCCACCAATGACACCACCATTTCCACCAATGACACCACCATCACCACCAACGCCACCTCCACCAACCACCATCGCCACCACCACCATCGCCACCATCTCCACCAATGACACCACCATTGCCACCAATGACACCACCATCACCACCACCACCATCGCCACCATCTCCACCAATGACACCACCATTGCCACCAATGACACCACCATCGCCACCACCACCATCGCCACCATCTCCACCAATGACACCACCATTGCCACCAATGACACCACCATCACCACCACCACCATCGCCACCATCTCCACCAATGACACCACCATCTCCACCAATGACACCACCATTGCCACCAATGACACCACCATCACCACCAACGCCACCTCCACCAACCACCATCGCCACCACCACCATCGCCACCATCTCCACCAATGACACCACCATTGCCACCAATGACACCACCATCACCACCACCACCATCGCCACCATCTCCACCAATGACACCACCATTGCCACCAATGACACCACCATCACCACCACCACCATCGCCACCATCTCCACCAATGACACCACCATTGCCACCAATGACACCACCATCGCCACCACCACCATCGCCACCATCTCCACCAATGACACCACCATTGCCACCAATGACACCACCATCACCACCACCACCATCGCCACCATCTCCACCAATGACACCACCATCTCCACCAATGACACCACCATTGCCACCAATGACACCACCATTACCACCAACGCCACCTCCACCAACCACCATCGCCACCACCACCATCGCCACCATCTCCACCAATGACACCACCATTGCCACCAATGACACCACCATCACCACCACCACCATCGCCACCATCTCCACCAATGACACCACCATTGCCACCAATGACACCACCATTGCCACCAATGACACCACCATCACCACCACCACCATCGCCACCAATCTCCACCAATGACACCACCATTGCCACCAATGACACCACCATTGCCACCAATGACACCACCATCACCACCACCACCATCGCCACCATCTCCACCAATGACACCACCATTGCCACCAATGACACCACCATCGCCACCACCACCATCGCCACCATCTCCACCAATGACACCACCATTGCCACCAATGACACCACCATCACCACCACCACCATCGCCACCATCTCCACCAATGACACCACCATCTCCACCAATGACACCACCATTGCCACCAATGACACCACCATCACCACCAACGCCACCTCCACCAACCACCATCGCCACCACCACCATCGCCACCATCTCCACCAATGACACCACCATTGCCACCAATGACACCACCATCACCACCACCACCATCGCCACCATCTCCACCAATGACACCACCATTGCCACCAATGACACCACCATCGCCACCACCACCATCGCCACCATCTCCACCAATGACACCACCATTGCCACCAATGACACCACCATCACCACCACCACCATCGCCACCATCTACACCAATGACACCACCATCTCCACCAATGACACCACCATTGCCACCAATGACACCACCATCACCACCAACGCCACCTCCACCAACCACCATCGCCACCACCACCATCGCCACCATCTCCACCAATGACACCACCATTGCCACCAATGACACCACCATCACCACCACCACCATCGCCACCATCTCCACCAATGACACCACCATTGCCACCAATGACACCACCATTGCCACCAATGACACCACCATCACCACCACCACCATCGCCACCATCTCCACCAATGACACCACCATTGCCACCAATGACACCACCATCGCCACCACCACCATCGCCACCATCTCCACCAATGACACCACCATTGCCACCAATGACACCACCATCACCACCACCACCATCGCCACCATCTCCACCAATGACACCACCATTGCCACCAATGACACCACCATTATAACCAATGACACCACCATCACCACCACCACCATCGCCACCATCTCCACCAATGACACCACCATTGCCACCAATGACACCACCATTGCCACCAATGACACCACCATCACCACCACCACCATCGCCACCATCTCCACCAATGACACCACCATTGCCACCAATGACACCACCATTGCCACCAATGACACCACCATCACCACCACCACCATCGCCACCATCTCCACCAATGACACCACCATTGCCACCAATGACACCACCATTGCCACCAATGACACCACCATCACCACCACCACCATCGCCACCAACTCCACCAATGACACCACCATTGCCACCAATGACACCACCATCGCCACCAATGACACCACCATCGCCACCACCACCATCGCCACCATCTCCACCAATGACACCACCATTGCCACCAATGACACCACCATCACCACCACCACCATCGCCACCATCTCCACCAATGACACCACCATTGCCACCAATGACACCACCATTGCCACCAATGACACCACCATCACCACCACCACCATCGCCACCATCTCCACCAATGACACCACCATTGCCACCAATGACACCACCATTGCCACCAATGACACCACCATCACCACCACCACCATCGCCACCATCTCCACCAATGACACCACCATTGCCACCAATGACACCACCATTGCCACCAATGACACCACCATCACCACCACCACCATCGCCACCATCTCCACCAATGACACCACCATTGCCACCAATGACACCACCATTGCCACCAATGACACCACCATCACCACCACCACCATCGCCACCATCTCCACCAATGACACCACCATTGCCACCAATGACACCACCATTGCCACCAATGACACCACCATCACCACCACCACCATCGCCACCATCTCCACCAATGACACCACCATTGCCACCAATGACACCACCATCACCACCACCACCATCGCCACCATCTCCACCAATGACACCACCATTGCCACCAATGACACCACCATTGCCACCAATGACACCACCATCGCCACCACCACCACCTCCACCAACCACCATCGCCACCACCACCATCGCCACCATCTCCACCAATGACACCACCATTGCCACCAATGACACCACCATCACCACCAACGCCACCTCCACCAACCACCATCGCAACCACTGCCACCACCGCCACCACTACCATCGCTACCACCACCATCACCACCACTACCACCACCACTACCATCACCACCACTACCACCACCATTAGCATTGTGACCACCACCATCGCCACCACCAATACCATCGCTACCACCACCATCACCACCACTACCACCGCTACCACCACTACCACCACCGCCACCACTACCATCGCTACCACCACCATCACCACCACTACCACCACCACTACCATCACCACCACTACCACCACCATTAGCATTGTGACCACCACCATCGCCACCACCAATACCATCGCTACCACCACCATCACCACCACTACCACCGCTACCACCACTACCACCACCGCCACCATCGCCGCCACCAGACCAGGTTCCGCCACTCGCTGGCCCCGCCAACCCTCACCGCCTCCGCTTTGACGAGCGCTCGGTGTAGTGACACCAAGACACGGCAGTCTTCAGCAGGAGGCAGGGGTCATGATTATCCTGGAGGCCCACTCACTCACCCATCCACTCACCCACTCACCCACTCACTCACCCACTCACTCACCTACTCACTCACCCACTCACTCACCCACTCACTCACCTACCCACTCACTCACTCGCCCATCCACTCACTCACTCACTCACCTACTCACCTACTCACTCACCCACTCACTCACTCACCTACCTACCCACCCACCCACTCACTCACTCATGCACCCACTCACTCACTCACCCACTCACTCACCCACTCACTCACTCATTCACCCACTCACTCACTCACTCACCCATCCACTCACTCACCTACCCACCCACTCACTCATTCACCCACTCACTGACTCATTCATCCACTCACTCAGCCAAGCCCCCACTCTCTCATTCACCCACCCAATCTCTGGCCAGGAGCTTTGCCCCCAGCTGATGGTTAACTGACCAAGCCTCCCCCGAGTCTCCGAACACCTCGTATTAATGTCACCATCACCCCCCCCCCTGCCATCTTAACGCTGCCACCCTCCGCCCCCCCTCTCGCCCCGCCCCCCCAAGTGAGTCTGGCTTGGAGCAGGTGGCGGTAAAGGTGCCAGACTCCATCACCGAGTGGAAGGCCTCGGCATTCTGCTCGTCGCCGGCGGGCTTCGGCCTCTCCGAGGTCTCCTCGCTCCGAGTCTTCACCCCGTTCTTCGTCGAACCCGTGCTGCCCTACTCCGTGGTGCGCGGCGAGACCTTCCCGCTCGCCATCAGCGTCCACAACTACTTGCACAGCTGCCTCAAGGTGACCGGCACCTCTCCTGGTGGTGGTGGTGGTGATTTTCCACTCCGGTGCTGGGTGTCCATCTAGAACCCCCATTCAAACGCACAGTGGCCTGGTCTCAGCTTGCCGATGAAAGTTGCAAGCGAGAAATTCATCATCGTGAGGCCTGAGATCTGGTTTGTTCTTCGTGCTTTCAGAGTCCCTGATCCTCTGCTCACGATCATTAAGGACCTTCATGATGGTGATAATAACAGTCTGGACCACTGGACGGGTTCCGCAGGATTGGAAGGATGCCCTGGTGGTCCCCCTCTTTAAGAAGGGGGACCCCACAGACTGTAACAACTACAGTGGAATCTCACTCCTCAGTGTGCCGGGAAAGGTCCTGGCAAGGATTATTCAACATCGCCTTGCTAGGCACGCTGAGGAGAGGCTTGTGGAGCCCCAGTGCGGTTCCAGGAAAGGGCGGTCCTGCACAGATGCCATATTTTCTGTCCATTTGCTACAGCAGAGGTGTAGGAAATTCCAACAAGACCTACATCTCTGCTTTATTGACCTGGTCAAGGCCTATGATACCATCAGTAGGCCTGAGATCTGGTTTGTTCTTCGTGCTTTCAGAGTCCCTGATCCTCTGCTCACGATCGTTAAGGACCTTCATGATGGTGAGCGGGCCCGGGTAAAACTACGTGGCCGGGAGTCAGAGCCATTCCCTGTACACTTTGGGGTGCGACAGGGATGTGAACTGGCTCCAACATTAATTAGCATCTATTTTGACCACGTAGTTCACGAAGCCTTCAATAGCTGTATCTGAGGAATTTCCATCTGGTACAGATACAATGGAAGGCTGATCAAGAGATGGCTCCCTATTGCTCAACCACGTCATGTATGCCGAATGATCTGGTAATTGCCTCTTACTCAGAGGAGGAGTTGGAGGCGCTGCTGCTGAACCTGGAGCTTGCCACCTAAGAGGTGGGGCCTTACCATCGGCCCCACCAAAACGAAGCATCTGCCTGGGTATTTTGTACCATCGGACACATCACCCCCACAACTCCCAATTGGTGATGGGGCAGTTGTGGAGAGAGTGGAGAGTTTCCAATACCTTGGCAGTGTGCTCATGACCGGCTCCAGTTTAACAACAGAGGTCTCACTCCGAATCAGTTGAGCGGCATTCATCTTTTCATCGGTTGCGTAAGCGCTGTGTGGAAGCTACCTGGTCTCTCGATCCACACGAAGCTTCAGGGCTTCTCAGCCACAGTCATTCCCTCCCTTTTCTACGCTTGCGAAACGTGGACCCCCCTAATGGAACATCTTCGCCGGTTAGAAATGTTTAGGCTGGCCTGCCTCCGATCCATCCTGGGTTTAACCTGCAGGCTGGATTGTGTAAGGAGCTCACAAATCCTTGAAAGATCTGGACAAAGTCCCATCGGTGAGCTCCTCCGGCAGGCAAGGCTGCGTTGGCTGGGTCATGTAGCCCGCATGCCCAGCCACCGTATGCCTAAACATCTTTTGTTCGGCCAAATCGAGGTGGCACGGGCTAGAGAAAAGATGGAGTGATGTGGTACAGGAGGATATGGAGCTGAGTGGACTTTGTTGATGACTAGTACCAGCGGTGTCAAGATTGGCATATGTGTAGGACGCTCGTGAAGGATGCTACTGGGCAGTTTGAGGCAGTCGCCCTCCAACAACAACGGAGAGTGGAGGAGCAACGCTCACAACAATGAGCGGAGCGCCGGGTGGCTAAAGCACAGCAATTTGGCAGAGTAGGAGACACAGGTGGTGCATCAGCCAGTCGTCTCAGTCAGTTGGCCCGTGGCATCTGGGTCTGCCCCGTGACCTCCTGCCAGCGGGCATTCGACACTTCACGTGGCCTCAAGGTGCACATAGCCTGGCACAAGCGTCGTGGTGACGTGACCGCTACTTAGTGGCGAATGGCGGTTGTTGTTGTTGGTGATGGAGATGATGATGGTGGAGGTGGTGGCGGAGGTGGTGGGTGGAGGTGGTGATGGAGACAGTGAAATTGGTGATGGTGGAGGTGGTGATGCTGGCGGTGGCGGTGATGTTGGTGTATTTGGATTCTCAACCAACATCGGTTGAGGTCGAGGTACACCGATTGTTTTCTTGCACATGACGACGTTGACCAATTTCTCTTGTAGCCCCGCTCACCACCACCCCCACGTTCCATTCCCTGGTTACCACATTCAGATAAGCCCCTCCCCCCTTAACTTGTATTTAAGGGCTGGTCTTTTGGAATTTGTCCTCACTTGATGCAGTAATTTTAGCTGCGACGGTCCCACCTGATGACAGAGACTCGTGTTGCCTCCGAAACGTCGTCGTGATTTATTATTTTATTTCCATTATTACTTTTATGAACTTTTAATTTTTTTTACCTACGTGACCTTAGCGAAAAAAGCTAAGAGTAGGCGGGGATGTTGTTGCTGCTACAGATCGAGGTGACGCTGCTGGACTCGGAGCACTTTGCGGTGGCCGCGGGAGGCCCCCGTGGCGCCGCGAGCTGCGTGTGCCCCGACAGGAAGGGCCTCTTCAGCTTCCTCATCGAGCCGCTCGCCCTGGGTGAGGCCCCAACTCGCACACTCCACCCCTACCACGACTACTACCACTACCACTACTCCTATCTCTACCACTACTCCTATCTCTACCACTACCACTACTCCTATCACTACCTCTACCACTACTCCTACCTCTACTCCTATCTCTACCACTACTCCTACCACTACCCCTACCACGACTCCTACCTCTACCACTACTCCTACCTCTACCACTACCTCTACCACTACCCCTACCACTACCTCTACCTTCTACTCCTAGCCTTCCCACTACCACTACTCCTACCACTACCCTGGGTGAGCCCCCAACTCGCACACTCGACCTCTACCACTACCTCTACCACTACCTCTACCCTGGGTGAGCCCCCAACTCGCACACTCTACCACTACCTCTACCACTACCTCTACTCCTACCTCTACCACTACCTCTACTCCTACCTCTACCACTACCACTACCTCTACCACTACCTCTACCACTACCTCTACCACTACCTCTACCACTACCTCTACTACTACCTCTACTACTACCTCTACCACTACCTCTACTCCTACCTCTACCACTACCTCTACCACTACCTCTACTCCTACCTCTACCACTACCTCTACTCCTACCTCTACCACTACCACTACCTCTACCACTACCACTACCTCTACCACTACCACTACCTCTACCACTACCTCTACCACTACCTCTACCACTACCTCTACCACTACCTCTACCACTACCTCTACCACTACCTCTACTCCTACCTCTACCACTACCTCTACCACTACCACTACCTCTACTACTACCTCTACCACTACCTCTACCTCTACCACTACCTCTACTCCTACCTCTACCACTACCACTACCTCTACCACTACCTCTACTACTACCTCTACTACTACCTCTACCACTACCTCTACTCCTACCTCTACCACTACCTCTACTCCTACCTCTACCACTACCTCTACCACTACCTCTACCACTACCTCTACCTCTACCACTACCTCTACCACTACCTCTACCACTACTTCTACCTCTACCACTACCTCTACCACTACCCTGGGTGAGGCCCCAACTCGCACACTCGACCCCTACCCCTACGACGACTCCTACCACTACTCATTCCTCTACCACTACCACGACACCTACCACTACCTCTACCCCTACCACTACCACTTCTCCTACCACTACCACTACTCCTACCACTACCACTACCTCTACTCCTAACTCTACCCCTACCACTACCCCAACCACTACCCCTGCCACTACCACTACCTCTACTCCTAACTCTACCCCTACCACTACCACGACTCCTACCACTACCACTACCTCTACTCCTAACTCTACCCCTACCACTACCCTAGGTGAGCCCCCAACCCTCCACCTCTACTCCTTGCTGGAGTATCGATGGAGTCAGTGGCACTGAGTTGAGCTCCCTCCCTCTCCTCCCTCCCTCCCTGCCCTCTCCCTCCCTGCCCCCTTCTCCTCCTCCTCCCTCTTCTCCTCCTCCTCCCCCTCCTCCTCCCCGCCCCTCCACCCTTCCCCACCTCGCCTGTCTCTCGTCCCACTGGGGGCGCGGTGCCAGGCACGGTGAACGTGAGCGTGAGGGCGGCGGCGGTGCACAGCGATGAGCCCTGCGGGAACGAGGTGGTGGTGGTGCCGGAAGAGGGGGCCGTGGACACGGTGGTGCGGAGCGTCATCGTCGAGGTGACGTCGTCATCGTCATCATCGTCATCGCCATCGTCACCATCGTCATCTTCGTCACCATCGTCATCTTCGTCACCATCGTCATCATCGCCATCGTCATCGTCATCACCATCGTCATCACCATCGTCACCATCACCACCATTGTCATCATCGCCATCACCATCAACATCACCATCATCATCACCATCGTCATCATCACCATCGCCATCGTCATCGTCATCACCATCGTCATCACCATCGTCACTATCACCACCATTGTCATCATCGCCATCACCATCGTCATCACCATCACCATCGTCGTCATCACCATGTCCATCGTCACCATCGTCATCGCCATCACCACCACCACCATCGTCATCACCATCGTCATCACCATCGTCATCACCATCATCACCATCGTCATCATCACCATCGTCATCATCATCGTCATCACCATCGTCATCACCATCACCATCGTCGTCATCACCATGTCCATCGTCACCATCGTCATCGCCATCACCACCACCACCATCGTCATCACCATCGTCACCATCATCGTCATCACCATCGTCATCATTGTCGAGGTGACACCACCACCATCAGTGACGTCAACAGGAGCATTGTTTTCGTTATCAATGTGGTTGTTGATGTGGTTGTTGTTGATGATGTTGTTGTTGATGTTGTTGTTGTTGATGATGTTGTTGTTGATGTGGTTGTTGTTGATGTGGTTGTTGACACGGTTGTTGATGTGGTTGTTGTTGATGATGTTGTTGTTGATGTGGTTGTTGACACGATTGTAATTGTGGTGGTTGTTGTTGTTGTTTCAGCCGGAGGGGATTCCAAAGGAGCTTGCATACAGCTCTCTCCTGTGCCCCAAATGTGAGTCTCCTGTGGGACCACTCACACAGTCCCACTGATGGAGCTCCTCCCTGGGACTACTCACACAGTCCCACTCATAGAGCTCCTCCCTGGAGCCACTCACACAGTCCCACTCATGGAGCTCCTCCCTGGGACCACTCACACAGTCCCACTGATGGAGCTCCTCCCTGGGACTACTCACACAGTCCCACTCATGGAGCTCCTCCCTGGGACCACTCACACAGTCCCACTCATGGAGCTCCTCCCTGGGACCACTCACACAGTCCCACTGATGGAGCTCCACCCTGGGACCACTCACACAGTCCCACTCATGGAGCTCCTCCCTGGGACCACTCACACAGTCCCACTGATGGAGCTCCTCCCTGGGACCACTCACACAGTCCCACTCATGGAGCTCCTCCCTGGGACCACTCACACAGTCCCACTCATGGAGCTCCTCCCTGGGACCACTCACACAGTCCCACTCATGGAGCTCCTCCCTGGGACCACTCACAGTCCCACTCATAGAGCTCCTCCCTGGAGCCACTCACACAGTCCCACTCATGGAGCTCCTCCCTGGGACCACTCACACAGTCCCACTGATGGAGCTCCACCCTGGGACCACTCACACAGTCCCACTCATGGAGCTCCTCCCTGGGACCACTCACACAGTCCCACTGATGGAGCTCCTCCCTGGGACCACTCACACAGTCCCACTCATGGAGCTCCTCCCTGGGACCACTCACACAGTCCCACTCATGGAGCTCCTCCCTGGGACCACTCACACAGTCCCACTCATGGAGCTCCTCCCTGGGACCACTCACAGTCCCACTCATAGAGCTCCTCCCTGGAGCCACTCACACAGTCCCACTCATGGAGCTCCTCCCTGGGACCACTCACACAGTCCCACTCATAGAGCTCCTCCCTGGAGCCACTCACACAGTCCCACTCATAGAGCTCCTCCCTGGAGCCACTCACACAGTCCCACTCATGGAGCTCCTCCCTGGGACCACTCACACAGTCCCACTCATAGAGCTCCTCCCTGGAGCCACTCACACAGTCCCACTCATAGAGCTCCTCCCTGGGACCACTCACAGTCCCACTCATAGAGCTCCTCCCTGGGACCACTCACAGTCCCACTCATAGAGCTCCTCCCTGGGACCACTCACACAGTCTCACTCATAGAGCTCCTCCCTGGGACCACTCACACAGTCCCACTCATGGAGCTCTTCCCTGGGACAACTACCGCCACCACCGCCACCACCGTCACCACCACCACCACCGCCACCACCACCGCCACCACTGTCACCACCACCACCGTCACCACCACCACCGCCACCACCGTCACCACCACCACCACCCGCCACCACCACCGCCACCACTGTCACCACCACCACCGCCACCACCACCGCCACCACTGTCACCACCACCACCGTCACCACCACCACCGTCACCACCACCGCTGTCACCGTCACCGCCACTACCGCCACCACCGTCACCGCCACCACCGCCACCACCGTCACCACCACCGCCACCACCGCCACCACCGTCACCGCCACCACCGCCACCACCGACACCACCACCGCCACCACCGCCACCACCGCCACCACCGTCACCACCACCACCGCCACCGCCACCACCGTCACCGCCACCGCCACCACCGTCACCACCACCGCCACCACCGTCACCACCACCGCCACTACCGCCACCACCGTCACCGCCACCACCGCCACCACCGTAACCACCACCGCCACTACCGCCACCACCGTCACCGCCACCACCGCCACCACCGTCACCACCACCGCCACCACCGCCACCACCGTCACCACCACCACCACCACCACCGCCACCACTGTCACCGTCACCGTCACCACCGCTGTCACCACTACCGCCACTACCGCCACCACCACCGTCACCACCACCACCACCGTCACCGCCACCACCACTGTCACCGCCACTACCGCCACCACCGCCACTTCTGTTTCGATTTGTCTCTGCCGCGTCGTCTCCTTCCCAGCGCCAGCGTCCGAGCGCTTCGTCTTCAACCTGCCCCTGCCGGCCAACGTGATCGTGGGCTCTGCCCGGGCGTACGCCACTATCGCCGGTGAGTCTCACACACGGCCCCGGCCTGGTGCTGCCATCAGCGATTAAAACACTCCGGCCCCTGGCAGAAGTCAGGGGTCGTTATTATCCAATAGGGCACAGCAGGGCCCACTCACTCATTCACTCACGCACTCACTCAACCACTCGCTCATTCACTCACTCATTCACTCACTCACCCACTCATTCACTCACGCACTCACTCATTCACTCACTCACTCATTCACTCATGTACTCACGCACTCACGCACTCACGCACTCACCCACTCATTCACTCACCCACTCATTCACTCATTCACTCACCCACTCATCCACTCAGCCACTCATCCACTCACCCACTCACCCACTCCGCCACTCACTCACCAACTCACTCATTCACTCACTCACCCACTCACTCACCCACTCATTAACTCACACACTCACTCACTCACCAACTCACACACTCACTCACGCACTCACCCACTCACTCACTCATTCACCCACTCACTCGCACACTCACCCACTCACTCACTCGCACACTAACCCACTCACCCACTCACCCACTCACTCACTCACACACTCACTCACTCAACCACCCACTCACCCACCCACTCACCCACTCACCCACTCAATCACCCACTCAATCACCCACTCACTTCCCCACTCACTCACTCGCACACTCCCCACTCACTCACTCGCACACTCACCCAATCACTCACTCACCCACTCATCCACTCACCCACTCACCCACTCCCCCACTCAATCACCAACTCACCCACTCACCCACTCACTCACCAACTCACACACTCACTCACCCACTTACCCACTCACTAATTCACTCACGCACTCACTCACCCACTCAATCACCCACTCACTCACCAACTCACTCAATCACACACTCACACACTCACCCACTCAGCCACTCACCTACTCACCCACTCACTCACCCACTCACTCACTCAATCACCCACTCACCCACTATGGCTAGGATATGTTAACTCTCTCACCTTGTATGCAGGAGGTCGTGGTTTCGATCCCGAACCTGACGCCTGCTGCTGTATATTTGTAGCTGGCCTTCCTCTCTCTCCCCCACGTGGTCACGTGGATTTTTCTTCGCGTCCCCCGGTTTTCTTTTCCATCCACATTTAGTATCAGCAGCACACGCTGAGACTATTTGGCTGCTGCTGCTGTATTTTTAAATCCTTTATATTAAGTTCGCTTGCTTGCTTGCTTACGACCGTGCAAATCTTTCGGTCGTTTTTTAACCCACTTCCCGTGATCCAATCGAGCTGACATTTTGCACACAGACTCGTTGTGCGAGACAATTAATGTTCGCGAATTATTTTTTCCAAAATTTTACACTGTTTAGGGAGAACAAATTAAATATTTAATTACCAATTGCTTAATACTGGCAGACAATCATCTGACCCTTAGGTGGCAGCCATCTCAAGCCAGAGGACGAAAGGACTCTAGCCGCCACGCATATAAAGGATTTAGAGTGAAAAACTTTGTTTTTACGGGTTATACTTATTTTACGTGATGATGACTGATAGAGGCCCCCTCTTCATTGGGCTATCATTTGTGACATCCACGTCGCTCATGAAAAAACAACCACATAGCGGCTCAGTCAGTGGGGCCTTGGCTGTTAAATACAAACTTCGTACGTTTTACGTTTTTAATAGCTACGTAAGGTGTGAAAGAAGTTGAACACACACACGCAGCACGGCTGGCTACGTACGGTGTGAAAGAAGGTGAACACACACACGCAGCACGGCTGGTTACGTACGGTGTGAAAGAAGGTGAACACACACACGCAGCACGGCTGGTTACGTACGGTGTGAAAGAAGGTGAACACACACACGCAGCACGGCTGGTTACGTACTGTGCGAAAGGAGTTCAACACACACACACAGCACGGCTGGCTACGTACGGTACGAAATAATTTCAACACACACGCAGGGTAGCAAGGATATCAGAGCCGTGCCTTTGCCATCCGGGGTGAGCGACGGTTCCGTCTCTCCTGACTTGAGCCTTCCTCGTCGCCCTCCAGGGGACATCATGGGCTCTGCTCTCCAGAACCTGGACAAACTCCTCACCCTGCCGACGGGATGCGGGGAGCAGAACATGGTCAAGTTCGCGCCCAACATTTACATCCAGGAGTACCTGCAGAACTCCGGGCAGCTGACGGACGCGGTCCGAGACAAGGCGCTCAACTTTCTACGAGTTGGTAGGTGTCGAATCAGTGTGTCTGTGTGTCACTGTCTAGAGATACCCATCAGAAACCAGTCTGTCAGTGTCTAGAGATCCATCAGAGACCAGTCTGTCTGTCGATCACTGTCTAAAGACCCATCAGAGACCAGTCTGTCTGTCAGTGTCTAGAGATCCATCAGATACCACTCTATCAGTGTCTAGAGATTCATCAGAGACCAGTCTGTCAGTGTCTAGAGATCCATCAGAGACCAGTCTGTCAGTATCTAAAAACCCATCAGAGACCAGTCTGTCAGTGTCTAGAGATTCATCAGAGACCAGTCTGTCAGTATCTAGAGACCCATCAGAGACCTGTCTGTCAGTGTCTAGAGATCCATCAGAGACCAGTCTGTCAGTATCTAGAGACCCATCAGAGACCACTCTGTCAGTGTATAGAGATCCATCAGAGACCAGTCTGTCTGTTACTCTCTAGAGACCCATCAGAGACCACTCTGTCAGTGTCTAGAGATTCATCAGAGACCAGTCTGTCTGTTACTCTCTAGAGACCCATCAGAGACCACTCTGTCAGTGTCTAGAGATTCATCAGAGACCAGTCTGTCTGTTACTCTCTAGAGACCCATCAGAGACCACTCTGTCAGTGTCTAGAGATTCATCAGAGACCAGTCTGTCTGTCAGTGTCTAGAGATCCATCAGAGACCAGTCTGTCTGTTACTCTCTAGAGACCCATCAGAGACCACTCTGTCAGTGTCTAGAGATTCATCAGAGACCAGTCTGTCTGTTACTCTCTAGAGACGCATCAGAGACCAGTCTGTCGATCACTGTCTAGAGATACCCATCAGAGACCGGTCTTTCACCTGCAAAACACAAAATCGGATAATTCATAAAAATAAGTTTTTACTTTCGTTAATCAATGGATACGTTCCGCTACTGAGCGCGTCGCTATTATCTTCCATTGTACTCGTTCGCGTGAACATGCCAATCTCTCACATTGACGCAGCTGTTGTGCGTGCGTGCGGCGATGGGACTCATTTCCATCTCTGACCCCGCCTACTTACCCTTGGATGACACCCACCTAAAATCTATATATAACCTCTTGTTGCAGCAGGTCTCTCCTCTTCTTGGTTCTTTCGGTAAAGTCACGTAGAATGGAAATATTTCCTTCTACGTGACTTTACCGAAAGAACCAAGAAGATTAATCCCTGCAGTCACGAAAGCTTTAAATCGAAATTCAGGTCTCTCCTGTTCAGCAGTTCTACTGCTGTATCTTTCCACCTAATGACGATTGCTTGTGTTGCGATCGACACGTCGTGATTTATTATTTTTCTACCTACGTGACTTTACCGAAAAACCAAAGAGTATGGATTCCAGCAGTCACGAAAAATTGAAATCAAGATTGTTGCTATTATTGTTACCTCTGCGCTGTTAAACTTCGCAGGGTACCAACGGCAGCTGACCTACAAACGGGACGACCATTCCTACAGCGCGTTCGGAAAGAGCGACGATGATGGAAACACATGGTACGGTGTCATCGGTCACCAACGAGACATCATTAAATCATCTCTAATCGATTCACGCGTTATCAGGGGCAGATGTGGTAATTGTACTCACCCTTAGCGTCGTCATTCTACTCACCCCTAGCATCGTCATGCTACTCACCCCTAGCGTCGTCATTCTACTCACCCCTAGCATCGTTATTCTACTCACCCCTAGCGTCGTTATTCTACTCACCCCTAGCGTCGTCATTCTGCTCACCCCCTTCGCCATTTGTGCCCCCAGGCTCACGGCGTTTGTGCTCAAGTCCTTCGTGAGAGCCTCCAAGCACATCGCCGTATCCGAGGACCACATCACCGGGCCGTTTTCCTGGCTCGTAGAGCACCAAAACGCCTCCACCGGCTGCTTCATCAGCGTCGGACGGCTCTTCAACAACGCCATGAAGGTGCCGCTTCTGACACCAGAATCGGAATGCTCGTTGTTCCCACTGGAGCTGTAGAGATGTCCAGGTTCCGGGGAGCCACGGGGTCAGAACGTCACAATGATGAGCGCAATACACAAACGTAAGAAGTAGTACAAAGTCTTTGGGTCTTTCGGTAAAGTCACGTAGATAGGTTAAAATTGATAAAAATGAAATGAACAAAAACCACGACGTTTCGATCACAACACAAGCAATCGTGATCCGGAGGAAAAGAGAGGGGGAGAGCTGCTGAGGCAGGCTGTTTTAAAGGTTTAAAATGGGTGCAGCTCAAGGGTTATAAACAAAGTGGGCGGGGCTAGTGATGTTAATGTGAGAAATGTGCATGCTAATGTAAGATCGGAGAGTGGCCTGCATGGCGAGGGAGTGGAGGTGGCTATGTTAATGTCAGAGATTCGCATGTTAATATGAGATGGGAGATATTACGGTGGCCATCTTGCATGAGTGACGTCACGGTGGCCATCTTGCATGAGTGACGTCACGGTGGCCATCTTGCATGAGTGACTTCACGGTGGCCATCTTGCATGAGTGACTTCACGGTGGCCATCTTGCATGAGTGACGTCACGGTGGCCATCTTGCATGAGTGACGTCACGGTGGCCATCTTGCATGAGTGACGTCACGGTGGCCATCTTGCATGAGTGACTTCGCGGTGGCCATCTTGCATGGGTGACTTCACGGCGGCCATCTTGCATGAGTGACTTCACGGCCGCCATGTTGCATGAGTGACTTCGCGGTGGGAGGGGAGACTTTGGGACTCCTGAGTTGTTATTCAAACCCAGACACCTTTCACTGTGAAGCACACAAGCTCTACCACTGCATCACCCCTACCGAGGCAACACTCTACCCCTAGTGCTAACACTATACAACTACCACTCACACTCTACCACTACCACTCTACCCCTACCACTAACACTCTACCCCTACCACTCACACTCTACCCCTACCGCTAACACTCTAACCCTACCACTCTACCCCGAACACTCTACCCCTGACACTGACACTCTACCCCTACCACTAACACTCTACCCCTAACACTCTACCCGAACACTCTACCCCTGACACTGACACTCTACCCCTAACACTCTTCCCCTAACACTCTACCCCTACCACTCTACCCCTACCACTAACACTCTACCACTAACACTCTACCACTAACACTCTACCCCTAACACTCTTCCCCTAACACTCTACCCCGAACTCTCTACCCCTAACACTCTACCCCTACCACTACCACTCTACCCCTAACACTCTAGCCCTAACACTCTACCCCTACCACTAACACTCTACCCCTAACACTCTTCCCCTAACACTCTACCCCTACCACTCTACCCCTACCACTAACACTCTACCACTAACACTCTTCCCCTAACACTCTACCCCTACCACTAGCTACCCTACACCTAACACTCTACCCTTTCCCCTCTACCCCTTTCCCTACCCCTCCGTCCCTACCCCTAACACACAACACCTAGCACTCTGCCAAAACAGTCTGTTAAGGTTTCGCGAGGCATTTTTGTCTTTGTCTTGGCAGGGAGGCGTGTCGGACGATGTCTCGCTCACGGCCTACGTCACCGCCGCTCTCCTCGAGTCCAACATCTCCGTGAGTTCCTCGACGGAGGAGAAAACCACGTGCACGCCTTGAGCGTCATCGCTCTCTCTACACGAAGGGGTCTCAGTGGTAGCTCTCTGATATCCGCTTCTGCGGGTTCCGTTCTGCGTGAAGCAGAAATATCACTTGAATGAGAGGAAGGGGACTCAGAGGTTACTCTGTGATATCCGCTTCTGCGGGTTCCGTTCTGCGTGGAGCAGAGACAACACTTGAATGAGAGGAAGAGAACTCAGAGGTAGCTCTGTAGTATCCGCTTCTGCGGGTTCCGTTCTGCGTGGAGCAGAGACGTCACTTGAATGAGAGGAAGATAACTCAGAGGTAGCTCTGTAGTATCCCGCTTCTGCGGGTTCCGTTCTGCGTGGAGCAGAGACAACACTTGAATGAGAGGAAGAAAACTCAGAGGTAGCTCGGTAGTATCCGCTTCTGCGGGTTCCGTTCTGCGTGGAGCAGAGACGTCACTTGAATGAGAGGAAGAGAACTCAGAGGTAGCTCTGTAGTATCCGCTTCTGCGGGTTCCGTTCTGCATGGAGCAGAGACAACACTTGAATGAGAGGAAGAAAACTCAGAGGTAGCTCTGTAGTATCCTGCTTCTGCGGGTTCCGTTCTGCGTGGAGCAGAGACGTCACTTGAATGAGAGGAAGATAACTCAGAGGTAGCTCTGTAGTATCCTGCTTCTGCGGGTTCCGTTCTGCGTGGAGCAGAGACGTCACTTGAATGAGAGGAAGATAACTCAGAGGTAGCTCTGTAGTATCCCGCTTCTGCGGGTTCCGTTCTGCGTGGAGCAGAGACAACACTTGAATGAGAGGAAGAAAACTCAGAGGTAGCTCTGTAGTATCCGCTTCTGCGGGTTCCGTTCTGCATGGAGCAGAGACGTCACTTGAATGAGAGGAAGAGAACTCAGAGGTAGCTCTGTAGTATCCTGCTTCTGCGGGTTCCGTTCTGCGTGGAGCAGAGACAACACTTGAATGAGAGGAAGAAAACTCAGAGGTAGCTCTGTAGTATCCGCTTCTGCGGGTTCCGTTCTGCATGGAGCAGAGACGTCACTTGAATGAGAGGAAGAGAACTCAGAGGTAGCTCTGTAGTATCCTGCTTCTGCGGGTTCCGTTCTGCGTGGAGCAGAGACAACACTTGAATGAGAGGAAGATAACTCAGAGGTAGCTTTGTAGTATCCGCTTCCGCGAGTTCCGTTCTGCGTGGAGCAGAGACAACACTTGAATGAGAGGAAGATAACTCAGAGGTAGCTCTGTGGTATCCGCTTCCGCGAGTTCCATTATGGGAAATGTTTTTTTTTTCCTGGATGGACTCTTCTCTGGATCTGGAGGCCACCGAAAGCATTGGAGGGAATTTGAACTACTTTTATTTCACCAGGTAAGGCCCCAACTGACCTCGTTCCCAGAAGCGACCTGGCCATCACAAATGATAGATCAACGAAGTGGCTTATCACGTGGACATTTATGAGCAACCAAGTACTCTGAACGTGTCATGTCGATTCTAAATGTGGATGGAAACACCGGGGGACCCAGAGGAAATTTCACGCAACCACGGAGAGCGAGGGAGAGACACGCAAACTCCAAATATAAAGCAGGAGTAAAGTTTCAGGGATCGAACCCACGACCTCCTCCATACCAGGCGAGGTAGTTAACATCTCCTAGCCACCGTTATGGTGATGAGAGAGAGAGAGACGCAAACTCCAAATATGCAACAGCAGGTATCAGGGTCAGGGATCGAACCCACGACCTCCTACATACCGGGCGAGGTAGTTAACATATCCAAGCCACCGTGATGGTGATGAGAGAGAGAGACGCAAACTCCAAATATACAGCAGCAGGCATCAGGGTCGGGGATCGAACCCACGACCTCCTGTAGACCAGGCGAGGTAGTCAACACCTCCCAGGCACTGTGTAATGAGAGGCTACACGGTGGTGGTGGTGGTGGGGCCGCTGGGCCCACTGGGGCAGCTGGGGCCGCCAACCCCCCCTTTATCCCCCTCCCTTTACCCCCCACCACCCCCCCTTTATCCCCCCACCCCCCCCCCTTTATCCCCCTCCCTTTACCCCCACCCCCCCCCCTTTATCCCCCCATCCCCCCTTTAACCCTTTATCTCCCCCACCCACTTTTACCCCCCCTTTGCCCCTCCACCCCCCCCCCCCTTTATCCCCCCCTTTACCCCCCACCCCCCCCCCTTAATCCCCCCCCCTTTACCCCCCACCACCCTCCCCCCTTCATCCCAACCCCCCGCGGCCACACCTCTCCATTTACCTCCCCCCCCCCCCGTGTCCCCTTGTCAGGGCCCCGTCGTGGAGCGAGCTCTGGGCTGTCTCCGTCCCCTCGTGCTCGAGTCCAGCAACCCGCACCTGCTGGCGCTCGCCTCCTACGCCTTCAGCCTGTCCGCAGACGGCGCCACGGCACAGGCGCTGCGAGACGCCCTGCAGTCGCGCGCCGTCACCAAGGGCAAGTTGGGGTGGTGCGGGGAGTAGAGATGCAGGGGCAGTGATGGTAGGGGTTGGGGTAGGGGTAGTGATAGAGGTAGAGATGGTAGGGGTTGGGGTGGGGGTAGTGATAGGGATAGTGATAGGGGTAGTGATGGTAGGGGTTGGGGTAGGGGTAGTGATAGAGGTAGAGATGGTAGGGGTTGGGGTGGGGGTAGTGATAGGGATAGTGATAGGGGTAGTGATGGTAGGGGTTGGGGTAGGGGTAGTGATAGAGGTAGAGATGGTAGGGGTTGGGGTGGGGGTAGTGATAGGGATAGTGATAGGGGTAGTGATGGTAGGGGTTGGGGTAGGGGTAGTGATAGAGGTAGAGATGGTAGGGGTTGGGGTGGGGGTAGTGATAGGGATAGTGATAGGGGTAGTGATGGTAGGGGTTGGGGTAGGGGTAGTGATAGAGGTAGATATGGTAGGGGTTGGGGTAGGGGTAGTGGTAGGGGTAGTGATAGGGGTAGAGATAGTAGGGGTTGGGTAGGGGTAGTGATAGGGGTAGTGATGGTAGGGGTTGGGGTAGGGGTAGTGATAGAGGTAGAGATGGTAGGGGTTGGGGTAGGGGTAGTGATAGGGGTAGAGATGGTAGGGGTTGGGGTAGGGATAGTGATAGGAGTAGACCTTCATTTGCATTGTATGTAGCCAATCGTACTATGCTAAACTAGTTTTATATTTTTTAAATCCTTTATATTAAGTTCGCTTGCTTGCGTGCTTGCTTGCTTGCTTACGACCGTGCAAATCTTTCGGTCGTTTTTTAACCCACTTCCCGTGATCCAATCGAGCTGACATTTTGCACACAGACTCGTTGTGCGAGACAATTAATGTTCGTGACAAAATGTTTCCAAAATTTTACACTGTTTAGGGAAAACAAATTAAATATTTAATTACCAATTGCTTAATACTGGCAGACAATCATCTGACCCATAGGTGGCAGCCATCTCAAGCCAGAGGACGAAAGGACTCTAGCCGCCACGCATATGAAGGATTTATAGTGAAAAACTTTGTTTTTACGGGTTATACTTGTTACCAGGTAAGGCTCACTGAGCTCATTAGCTATATAGCTCTTTTTTCAGAGCTCAACGACGTGGCTTGTCATCATCATGTGGACATTTAAAGCAGCAGCCAATGCTCTGAGTGCATGTTCCTTGTAAATGTGGAGGGGAAACAGGAGGATCTGGAGACAAATCCATTGTCAGGGTCGGGATCAAACCCACGACTTCCTGCATATCCGGCGAGGTAGTTAACATCTCACGATGGGGAGATAGACAGAACATGCAAACTGCAAATATACAGCAGGTGTCAGGAAAGGGATCGAGCCCACGACCTCCTCCATACCCTGCGAGGTAGTTATCATCTTCTAGCCACCATGGTGATGATGATGAGAGAGAGAGAGACGCAAACTCCAAATATTACAACAGGCATCGTCAGGTTTGAGATCGAACCCACGACCTCCTGTATACCCGGCGAGAGAGTTAACATCTCCTATCCACCGTGACGATGATGAGAGAGAGAGATACGCAAACTCCGAATATACAGCGGCAGGCATCGTCAGGTTCCGAATCAAACCCACGACCTCCCGCATACCTGGCGAGGTAGTCAACATCTCCGAGCCGTCGCGACTGACCCTGACGATCGTCGTCGCCCCCTGCGCAACAGGCGGACTCACGCACTGGCAAGAGGCCAATAAGAAAGACGACAAGGACGAGGAGGACGAGGAGGGGGGCTTCAATTTCCGACGGTCCTACGGCGGGACCACGTCGGCCGCCGTGGAAACGACGGCGTACGCGCTGCTGAGCCGCCTGGCGGTGCCCGGGCAACTCGCCGCCTCGGCGACGAGCTCCAACATCGGCGTCGTGCAGTGGCTGAGCAAGCAGCGGAATGCCTACGGGGGGTTCTCGTCCACGCAGGCGAGAGGCGGTCGCCACGCTGGTCGTCGTCCTCATTGTTGCGCCCGTCACCCCGCCCGTCACCGTGTTTGTCACCTCGCTCGTCATCATCACGCTTGTCGTGGTGTTCATGGCCACGGTGGTGGTGGTGGTGGTTGATGATGACGACGATGATGGTGATTGATGGCGATCATGATTGATGATGATTGATCTTTATGATGGTGGTAATCGATGGTGATGATTGATAATGATGATCATGATGATGATGATCACCAAGACAGGGTAAGATCTGCTTATATGCTGGTGTTCTTGCATGTAAGCAGATCTTTCTGACCTCTGACCCCATTGGTCAACTCTAGAATCAGATGATCCTACTGCTGGTGGGTCTACAGACCTTGAGTTATATCTCCTTGCTGCTAATAGGTCTACCGATCTGGAGTTAGATCTTCTTTCTGCTGGTGGGTCTATAGATCTTGAGTTAGATCTTCTTGCTACTGGTGGGTCTATAGACCTTGAGTTAGATCTTCTTGCTACTGGTGGGTCTGCAGACCTTGAGTTAGATATTCTTGCTACTGGTGGGTCTACAGACCTTGAGTTAGATCTTCTTGCTGCTGGTGGGTCTACAGATCTGGAGTTAGATCTTCTTGCTGCTGGTGGGTTTACAGACCTTGAGTTAGATCTTCTTGCTACTGGTGGGTCTACAGACCTTGAGTTAGATATTCTTGCTACTGGTGGGTCTACAGACCTTGAGTTAGATCTCCTTGCTGCTGGTGGGTCTACAGATCTTGAGTTAGATCTTCTTGCTGTTGGTGGGTTTACAGACCTTGAGTTAGATCTTCTTGCTACTGGTGGGTCTACAGATCTTGAGTTAGATCTTCTTGCTACTGGTGGGTCTATAGATCTTGAGTTAGATCTCCTTGCTACTGGTGGGTCTACCGATCTGGAGTTAGATCTTCTTGCTGCTGGTGGGTCTACAGATCTTGAGTTAGATCTCCTTGCTACTGGTGGGTCTACCGATCTGGAGTTAGATCTTCTTGCTGCTGGTGGGTTTACAGACCTTGAGTTAGATATCCTTGCTACTGGTGGGTCTAGAGATCTTGAGTTAGATCTTCTTGCTGCTGGTGGGTCTATAGATCTTGAGTTAGATCTTCTTGCTACTGATGGGTCTACAGACATTGAGTTAGATCTCCTTGCTACTGGTGGGTCTACAGATCTTGAGTTAGATCTCCTTGCTGCTGGTGGGTCTACAGATCTGGAGTTAGATCTCCTTGCTGCTGGTGGGTCTACAGACCTTGAGTTAGATCTTCTTGCTACTGGTGAGTCTACAGATCTTGAGTTAGATCTCCTTGCTGCTGGTGGGTCTACAGATCTTGAGTTAGATCTCCTTGCTGCTGATGGGTCTACAGACATTGACTTAGATCTCCTTGCTACTGATGGGTCTACCGATCTGGAGTTATATCTTCTTGCTACTGGTGGGTTTACAGATCTTGAGTTAGATCTTCTTGCTACTGGTGGGTCTACCGATCTGGAGTTAGATCTTCTTGCTACTGGTGGGTCTACAGACCTTGAGTTAGATCTCCTTGCTACTGGTGGGTTTACAGATCTTGAATTAGATCTTCTTGCTACTGGTGGGTCTACAGACATTGAGTTAGATCTTCTTGCTACTGGTGGGTCTACCGATCTAGAGTTAGATCTTCTTGCTACTGGTGGGTCTACCGATCTGGAGTTAGATCTTCTTGCTACTGGTGGGTCTACAGACCTTGAGTTAGATCTCCTTGCTACTGGTGGGTCTACAGATCTGGAGTTAGATCTCCTTGCTACTGGTGGGTCTACAGATCTTGAGTTAGATCTTCTTGCTACTGATGAGTCAACAGACCTTGAGTTAGATCTTCTTGCTGCTGGTGGGTCTACAGACCTTGAGTTAGATCTCATTGCTACTGGTGGGTCTACAGACCTTGAGTTAGATCTTCTTGCTACTGATGAGTCTACAGATCTTGAGTTAGATCTTCTTGCTACTGATGGGTCTACAGACATTGAGTTAGATCTCCTTGCTACTGGTGGGTCTACAGATCTTGAGTTAGATCTCCTTGCTGCTGGTGGGTCTACAGATCTGGAGTTAGATCTCCTTGCTGCTGGTGGGTCTACAGACCTTGAGTTAGATCTTCTTGCTACTGGTGAGTCTACAGATCTTGAGTTAGATCTCCTTGCTGCTGGTGGGTCTACAGACCTTGAGTTAGATCTTCTTGCTGCTGATGGGTCTACAGACCTTGAGTTAGATCTTCTTGCTACTGGTGGGTCTACAGACCTTGAGTTAGATCTCCTTGCTACTGGTGGGTTTACAGATCTTGAGTTAGATCTTCTTGCTACTGGTGGGTTTACAGATCTTGAGTTAGATCTTCTTGCTACTGGTGGGTCTACAGATCTTGAGTTAGATCTTCTTGCTACTGGTGGGTCTACAGATTTGGAGTTAGATCTCATTGCTACTGGTGGGTCTACAGATCTTGAGTTAGATTTTCTTGCTACTGGTGGGTCTACAGATCTTGAGTTAGATCTCATTGCTACTGGTGGGTCTACAGATCTTGAGTTAGATTTTCTTGCTACTGGTGGGTCTACCGATCTGGAGTTAGATCTTCTTGCTACTGGTGGGTCTACCGATCTGGAGTTAGATCTCATTGCTACTGGTGGGTCTACAGATCTTGAGTTAGATCTGCTTGCTACTGGTGGGTCTACAGATCTGGAGTTAGATCTCCTTGCTACTGGTGGGTCTATAGATCTGGAGTTAGATCTTCTTGCTACTGGTGGGTTTACAGATCTTGAGTTAGATCTTCTTGCTACTGGTGGGTCTACAGATCTGGAGTTAGATCTCCTTGCTACTGGTGGGTCTACAGATCTGGAGTTAGATCTTCTTGCTGCTGATGGGTCTACAGACATTGAGTTAGATCTTCTTGCTACTGGTGGGTCTACCGATCTTGAGTTAGATCTTCTTGCTACTGGTGGGTCTACAGACCTTGAGTTAGATCTCCTTGCTACTGGTGGGTCTACCGATCTTGAGTTAGATATCCTTGCTGCTGATGGGTCTACAGACATTGAGTTAGATCTTCTTGCCGTCGTGTTGAGCTCTTGCCCCTCCCTCCCTCCGTCTTTGACCAACCCCAAGCAGGACACAGTAGTTGGCCTGCAAGCCCTGTCAGCCTTTGCCGCCCTGATGCATGGTGGTGGTGGTGGCGGTGGCGGTAGTGGCGGTATCAAGGCGGTCGTGCTGGACTCAGCTCACACTTTGCTCCGGGAGGTCTCCATCGACTCCACCAACGCCCTCATCCTGCACCAGGTGCAGCTGCCTCCTCCTGTTCCTGCTCCCATGGTGTCCTCCTGCACCGTGGAGGCCACGGGCCAGGGCTGCGTGCTCTTCCAGGTGAGGGGGCGGGTGGGGCCCACACCACGGGGGCTAGGAGATGTTAACTACCTCGCCTGGTCTGCAGGAGGTCGCAGGCTCGATCCCGACCCTGACGATGCCTGTATTTGGCGAGTTGTTAACTCGGAATCCGATGAGATATAAAAAATGAAGTTTTTTTCACAGATGTCCCAGTCAGGGGCACACGGGGGTAAGAACGTTAACAACAACAACACAGTGCAAAGTTCAAGAAAGTTAAACGTATCACCCAATCGCGCACAAATATAACGCTAAATCATCCCCATCCTACCAGGCAGAGCCCACTGAGGTTTTCACTGATTGTTCGAAAGCGACCTGGCCACAAATGATACCTCGACAAAAGTGGCTCGTCTTTTGGACATTTATAAGCAGCAAAATAATCAAAATCGTCTCAATGCATGTTTCTAAATGTGGAGGGAAAACACCGGAGAACCCGGATAAAAAAAAATCTACAAGACCATGGGGAAAGAGAGAGAGAGAGACATGCGCACTGCAAATATACAGCAGCAGGCGTCAGGGTCGGGATGGAACCCACGACCTCCTGTATACCAGGCGAGGGGCAGCAGTTGGTCTGTGTATAGGCATTCCTACTCGCTACTAACAGCACTTGCCCCTACAGCCTGCTAGAGGCTACACGGGGGATCTTTTTCTGTATAGGTGCTGCTGCTACTCGCTACTAACAGTACTTGCCCCAGCAGTCTGTTAGAGGCTACACGGGGAATCTTTGTCTGTGTATAGGCATTGCTACTCGCTACTACTAACAGCACTTGCCCCAGCAGTCTGTTAGAGGCTACACGGGGGATCTTTGTCTGTGTATAGGCGCTGCTACTCGCTACTAACAGCACTTGCCCCAACAGTCTGTTCGGGGCTACACGGGGGATCGTTGTCTGTGTATAGGCACTGCTACTCGCTACTACTAACAGCACTTGCCCCAACATTCTGTTCGAGGCTACACGGGGGATCTTTGTCTGTTGTCGCTGCAGGTCTCCCTCAAGTACAACGAACCCCCCAAATCTTCGAAACCCAAGTTCATTCTCTCCGTGGAGACCAACCCGGCAAATTGCTCCAAGGCAGCACGCAAGGGCTTCCAAATCAACGTGGAAGTCAGGTGGTCATTGCATGGGGTTCACGATGGCCGTGTCAGGTGACACTGCACCCAGCATAGCTTAGAGCCTGGGTTCGAGTGCTGGGTCTGGGTGTCTCTCTTTCAGTGGGTTCACGATGGCCGTGGCAGGGGACACTGCACCCAGCATAGCTTAGAGCCTGGGTTCGAGTACTGGGTCTGGGTGTCTCTCTCTCAGTGGGTTCACGATGGCCGTGGCAGGGGACACTGCACCCAGCATAGCTTAGAGCCTGGGTTCGAGTGCTGGGTCTGGGTGTCTCCCTCTCAGTGGGTTCACGATGGCCGTGGCAGGGGACACTGCACCCAGCAGAGCTTAGAGCCTGGGTTCGGGCAACGCTGAGTCTATGGACAGTGTTGAGTCTATAGGCAGTGCTTAGTCTATAGGCAGTGTTGAGTCTATAGGCAGTGCTGAGTCTATGAGTCTTTAGGCAGTGCTGAGTCTATGAGTCTTTAGGCAGTGCTGAGTCTATGGGTCTATAGGCAGTGCTGAGTCTATGAGTCTTTAGACAGTGCTGAGTCTATGAGTCTATAGGCAGTGCTGAGTCTATGAGTCTCTAGGCAGTGCTGAGTCTATGGGTCTATAGACAGTGCTGAGTCTATGAGTCTATAGGCAGTGCTGAGTCTATGGGTCTATGGGCAGTGCTGAGTCTATGAGTATTTAGACAGTGCTGAGTCTATGAGTCTATAGGCAGTGCTGAGTCTATGGGTCTATAGACAGTGCTGAGTCTATGAGTCTATAGGCAGTGCTGAGTCTATGAGTCTATAGGCAGTGCTGAGTCTATGAGTCTATAGGCAGTGCTGAGTCTATGAGTCTATAGGCAGTGCTGAGTCTATGAGTCTATAGGCAGTGCTGAGTCTATGAGTCTATAGGCAGTGCTGAGTCTATGAGTCTATAGGCAGTGCTGAGTCTATGAGTCTATAGGCAGTGCTGAGTCTATGAGTCTATAGACAGTGCTGAGTCTATGAGTCTATAGGCAGTGCTGAGTCTATGAGTCTATAGACAGTGCTGAGTCTATGAGTCTATAGGCAGTGCAGAGTCTCTGAGTCTGCTGGCACTGCTGCTCAATGCACCGCGGACGTGGATCCGATAGATGGAGGCCTAAAAAGCGCGGGAGCCAAACATCGCCGGAAATTAGCGTCACCAGGTGACACTCATCCTCCTCCCCCTCCTCCCCCTCCTCCTCCTCCCCCTCCCCCTCCTCCTCCCCCTCCTCCCCCTCCTCCTCCTCCTCCTCCTCCTCCCCCTCCTCCCCCTCCTCCCCCTCCTCCTCCTCCCCCTCCCCCTCCTCCTCCACCTCCTCCCCCTCCTCCTCCTCCTCCTCCTCCCCCTCCTCCTCCTTCTCCCTCCTCCCCCCCTCCTCCTCCTTCTCCCTCCTCCCCCCCTCCTCCCCCTCCTCCTCCTCCCTCTCCACCCCCTCCTCCCCCCCTCCTCCTCCTCCTCCCCCCCTCCTCCCCCTCCTCCATCCTCCTCCTCCTTCAGCTACCACGGCGAGCGAGGCGAGTCGAACATGGCCCTCGTGGAGGTGAAGATGATCTCCGGGTACAGCGCGGTGAAGTCTTCTCTTAAAGAGGTTGGTGTGTCTCCATCGTCACCATCATCATCGTCGTCATCGTCGTCGTCGTCAATGGCCCATCAGCAGCCGTGGTCAATCTGCCGCTGGATGAAAGCTCGTCCACTAACAGTCAGCCACCACCACTTGCGGTGGAACAATCCACCGGCTCCGATGTCACATGACATCACACCACTCCAATGTCATGTCACATCACACCACTCCAATGTCACATGACATCACATCCCTCCAATCTCTCATCACATCACATCGCCACTCTAATGTCACATGACATCACACCACTCCAATGTCATGTCACATCACACCACTCCAATGTCACATGACATCACATCCCTCCAATCTCTCATCACATCACATCGCCACTCTAATGTCACATGACATCACACCACTCCAATGTCATGTCACATCACACCACTCCAATGTCACATGACATCACATCCCTCCAATCTCTCATCACATCACATCGCTCCAATGTCTCCTACCCCGCGTGTTGTCTCGAACACAGCTGCAGACCTTCTACGACTTCGTGAAGAAGGTCGAGGTGGATGCAAGCCGCGTGGTCATTTACCTGGACAAGGTGAGCGGCTGGGGCACTGCAGCTTGAGTGGTGGTGCTGGTGGTGTCTTGGTGTGGTCTGGGAGCCCTCCCCACCTCATCCCCCTTCCCAACTCTCAACCCCCTCCTTCTGCCCCCACCATCTTCTCTTCCCCCCTCTTCCCTCCCCCTCCCTCATCCCCCTACTCCTCTTCCCCCCCCCCCCTCGTCACTCTCTTCCTCCCCCTCCTTCTCCTCCTCCTCGTCCCCCTCCTCCCTCAAATCCCTCCTCCTCCCCCTCCTCCCCCCTCCTCCTCCCCCTCCACCCCCTCCTCCCTGTCCCCCCTCCTCCTCCTCCCTCAAATCCTTCCCCCCATGACATCAACGTTGCCACAACAACGTTGCCACAACAACGTTGCCACAACAACGCTACCACACAACAACATTGCCACAACAACGTTGCCACAACAACATTGCCACGACAACGCTGCCACACAACAACGCTGCCACAACAACATTGCCACAACAACGTTGCCACAACAACATTGCCACAACAACGCTGCCACAACAACATTGCCACAACAACGCTGCCACAACAACGTTGCCACACAACAACGTTGCCACAACAACATTGCCACAACAACGTTGCCACAACAACATTGCCACAACAACGCTGCCACAACAACGTTGCCACACAACAACGCTGCCACAACAACGTTGCCACACAACAACATTACTACAACAACATTGCCACAACAACATTGCCACAACAACAACATCAACCTACCACGTGTTTTTTCCCCCTGTGTTCACACTAAGTTTCCCTTTTCTTATTTTTCGCTTGTCGAGCGAGCGAGGGTTGTCCACCTCTCGTTGTCGGATGCCGTTCGCAAATCTTTAAAATCCACCCTCCCCTAGGTCGACAAGAAGCCAATTGCGATCAAGCTGTCCGTCACTCAAGACATTGCCGTGGATAACCTGCAACCTGCCACCGTCAGAGTCTACGATTACTACGCCACAGGTGAGTAGGGTCAACTGTGTCAGAGTCTACGATTACTACGCCACAGGTGAGTAGGGTCAACTGTGTCAGAGTCTACGATTACTATGTCACAGGTGAGTAGGGTCAACTGTGTCAGAGTCTACGATTACTACGCCACAGGTTAGTAGGGTCAACTGTGTCAGAGTCTACGATTACTATGCCACAGGTGAGTAGGGTCAACTGTGTCAGAGTCTACGATTACTATGCCACAGGTTAGTAGGGTCAACTGTGTCAGAGTCTACGATTACTACGCCACAGGTGAGTAGGGTCAACTGTGTCAGAGTCTACGATTACTATGCCACAGGTTAGTAGGGTCAACTGTGTCAGAGTCTACGATTACTATGCCACAGGTGAGTAGGGTCAACTGTGTCAGAGTCTACGATTACTATGCCACAGGTGAGTAGGGTCAACTGTGTCAGAGTCTACGATTACTATGCCACAGGTTAGTAGGGTCAACTGTGTCAGAGTCTACGATTACTACGCCACAGGTTAGTAGGGTCAACTGTGTCAGAGTCTACGATTACTATGCCACAGGTGAGTAGGGTCAACTGTGTCAGAGTCTACGATTACTATGCCACAGGTGAGTAGGGTCAACTGTGTCAGAGTCTACGATTACTATGCCACAGGTGAGTAGGGTCAACTGTGTCAGAGTGTACGATTACTACGCCACAGGTGAGTAGGGTCAACTGTGTCAGAGTCTACGATTACTATGCCACAGGTTAGTAGGGTCAACTGTGTCAGAGTCTACGATTACTACGCCACAGGTGAGTAGGGTCAACTGTGTCAGAGTCTACGATTACTATGCCACAGGTGAGTAGGGTCAACTGTGTCAGAGTCTACGATTACTACGCCACAGGTTAGTAGGGTCAACTGTGTCAGAGTCTACGATTACTATGCCACAGGTGAGTAGGGTCAACTGTGTCAGAGTCTACGATTACTACGCCACAGGTGAGTAGGGTCAACTGTGTCAGAGTCTACGATTACTACGCCACAGGTTAGTAGGGTCAACTGTGTCAGAGTGTACGATTACTATGCCACAGGTTAGTAGGGTCAACTGTGTCAGAGTCAACGATTACTACGCCACAGGTGAGTAGGGTCAACTGTGTCAGAGTCAACGATTACTACGCCACAGGTTAGTAGGGTCAACTGTGTCAGAGTCTACGATTACTACGCCACAGGTTAGTAGGGTCAACTGTGTCAGAGTCAACGATTACTACGCCACAGGTTAGTAGGGTCAACTGTGTCAGAGTCAACGATTACTACGCCACAGGTTAGTAGGGTCAACTGTGTCAGAGTCTACGATTACTACGCCACAGGTTAGTAGGGTCAACTGTGTCAGAGTCTACGATTACTACGCCACAGGTTAGTAGGGTCAACTGTGTCAGAGTCTACGATTACTACGCCACAGGTTAGTAGGGTCAACTGTGTCAGAGTCTACGATTACTACGCCACAGGTTAGTAGGGTCAACTGTGTCAGAGTCTACGATTACTATGCCACAGGTTAGTAGGGTCAACTGTGTCAGAGTCTACGATTACTATGCCACAGGTGAGTAGGGTCAACTGTGTCAGAGTCTACGATTACTACGCCACAGGTTAGTAGGGTCAACTGTGTCAGAGTCTACGATTACTACGCCACAGGTGAGTAGGGTCAACTGTGTCAGAGTCTACGATTACTATGCCACAGGTGAGTAGGGTCAACTGTGTCAGAGTCTACGATTACTACGCCACAGGTTAGTAGGGTCAACTGTGTCAGAGTCTACGATTACTACGCCACAGGTTAGTAGGGTCAACTGTGTCAGAGTCTACGATTACTACGCCACAGGTTAGTAGGGTCAACTGTGTCAGAGTCTACGATTACTATGCCACAGGTGAGTAGGGTCAACTGTGTCAGAGTCTACGATTACTACGCCACAGGTTAGTAGGGTCAACTGTGTCAGAGTCTACGATTACTACGCCACAGGTTAGTAGGGTCAACTGTGTCAGAGTGTACGATTACTATGTCACAGGTGAGTAGGGTCAACTGTGTCAGAGTCTACGATTACTATGTCACAGGTTAGTAGGGTCAACTGTGTCAGAGTCAACGATTACTATGCCACAGGTTAGTAGGGTCAACTGTGTCAGAGTCTACGATTACTATGCCACAGGTGAGTAGGGTCAACTGTGTCAGAGTCTACGATTACTATGCCACAAGTTAGTAGGGTCAACTGTGTCAGAGTCTACGATTACTACGCCACAGGTTAGTAGGGTCAACTGTGTCAGTCTACGATTACTACGCCACAGGTTAGTAGGGTCAACTGTGTCAGAGTCTACGATTACTACGCCACAGGTTAGTAGGGTCAACTGTGTCAGAGTCTACGATTACTACGCCACAGGTTAGTAGGGTCAACTGCGTCAGAGTCGACGATTACTACGCCACAGGTTAGTAGGGTCAACTGTGTCAGAGTCTACGATTACTACGCCACAGGTTAGTAGGGTCAACTGTGTCAGTCTACGATTACTATGCCACAGGTTAGTAGGGTCAACTGTGTCAGAGTCTACGATTACTACGCCACAGGTTAGTAGGGTCAACTGTGTCAGAGTCTACGATTACTACGCCACAGGTTAGTAGGGTCAACTGTGTCAGTCTACGATTACTATGCCACAGGTTAGTAGGGTCAACTGTGTCAGTCTACGATTACTACGCCACAGGTTAGTAGGGTCAACTGTGTCAGTCTACGATTACTACGCCACAGGTTAGTAGGGTCAACTGTGTCAGAGTCTACGATTACTACGCCACAGGTTAGTAGGGTCAACTGTGTCAGTCTACGATTACTACGCCACAGGTTAGTAGGGTCAACTGTGTCAGAGTCTACAATTACTACGCCACAGGTTAGTAGGGTCAACTGTGTCAGTCTACGATTACTATGCCACAGGTTAGTAGGGTCAACTGTGTCAGAGTCTACGATTACTACGCCACAGGTTAGTAGGGTCAACTGTGTCAGAGTCTACGATTACTACGCCACAGGTTAGTAGGGTCAACTGTGTCAGAGTCTACGATTACTACGCCACAGGTTAGTAGGGTCAACTGTGTCAGAGTCTACGATTACTACGCCACAGGTTAGTAGGGTCAACTGTGTCAGAGTCTACGATTACTATGCCACAGGTGAGTAGGGTCAACTGTGTCAGTCTACGATTACTACGCCACAGGTTAGTAGGGTCAACTGTGTCAGAGTCTACAATTACTACGCCACAGGTTAGTAGGGTCAACTGTGTCAGTCTACGATTACTATGCCACAGGTTAGTAGGGTCAACTGTGTCAGAGTCTACGATTACTACGCCACAGGTTAGTAGGGTCAACTGTGTCAGAGTCTACGATTACTACGCCACAGGTTAGTAGGGTCAACTGTGTCAGAGTCTACGATTACTATGCCACAGGTTAGTAGGGTCAACTGTGTCAGAGTCTACGATTACTATGCCACAGGTTAGTAGGGTCAACTGTGTCAGAGTCTACGATTACTACGCCACAGGTTAGTAGGGTCAACTGTGTCAGAGTCTACGATTACTACGCCACAGGTTAGTAGGGTCAACTGTGTCAGAGTCTACGATTACTACGCCACAGGTTAGTAGGGTCAACTGTGTCAGAGTCTACGATTACTACGCCACAGGTTAGTAGGGTCAACTGCGTCAGAGTCGACGATTACTACGCCACAGGTTAGTAGGGTCAACTGTGTCAGAGTCTACGATTACTACGCCACAGGTTAGTAGGGTCAACTGTGTCAGAGTCTACGATTACTACGCCACAGGTGAGTAGGGTCAACTGTGTCAGTCTACGATTACTACGCCACAGGTTAGTAGGGTCAACTGCGTCAGAGTCGACGATTACTACGCCACAGGTTAGTAGGGTCAACTGTGTCAGAGTCTACGATTACTACGCCACAGGTTAGTAGGGTCAACTGTGTCAGAGTCTACGATTACTACGCCACAGGTTAGTAGGGTCAACTGTGTCAGTCTACGATTACTACGCCACAGGTTAGTAGGGTCAACTGTGTCAGAGTCTACGATTACTATGCCACAGGTTAGTAGGGTCAACTGTGTCAGAGTCTACGATTACTACGCCACAGGTGAGTAGGGTCAACTGTGTCAGAGTGTACGATTACTACGCCACAGGTTAGTAGGGTCAACTGTGTCAGAGTCTACGATTACTACGCCACAGGTGAGTAGGGTCAACTGTGTCAGAGTCTACGATTACTACGCCGCAGGTTAGTAGGGTCAACTGTGTCAGAGTCTACGATTACTACGCCACAGGTTAGTAGGGTCAACTGTGTCAGAGTCTACGATTACTATGCCACAGGTTAGTAGGGTCAACTGTGTCAGAGTCTACGATTACTATACCACAGGTTAGTAGGGTCAACTGTGTCAGAGTGTACGATTACTACGCCACAGGTTAGTAGGGTCAACTGTGTCAGAGTCTACGATTACTATGCCACAGGTGAGTAGGGTCAACTGTGTCAGTCTACGATTACTACGCCACAAGTTAGTAGGGTCAACTGTGTCAGTCTACGATTACTACGCCACAGGTTAGTAGGGTCAACTGTGTCAGTCTACGATTACTACGCCACAGGTTAGTAGGGTCAACTGTGTCAGTCTACGATTACTACGCCACAGGTGAGTAGGGTCAACTGTGTCAGAGTGTACGATTACTACGCCACAGGTTAGTAGGGTCAACTGTGTCAGAGTCTACGATTACTACGCCACAGGTTAGTAGGGTCAACTGTGTCAGAGTCTACGATTACTATGCCACAGGTTAGTAGGGTCAACTGTGTCAGAGTCTACGATTACTATGCCACAGGTGAGTAGGGTCAACTGTGTCAGAGTCTACGATTACTATGTCACAGGTTAGTAGGGTCAACTGTGTCAGAGTCTACGATTACTACGTCACAGGTGAGTAGGGTCAACTGTGTCAGAGTCTACGATTACTATGCCACAGGTGAGTAGGGTCAACT